AAGTCTTCTCTTTCGCTTAGAGTATGCGTTTATTGCCGTTTTTTTAAAAACATGATGAACCAGCAAAAAAGTTCGCTCAGTAACTGCGGATTGACTTCTCATTACACTGATAAACTCTCACCAATGTCGAGAGAAATTAATCGCCTCGTTTGGAGCATCGTGAGATTCTCTAAGTTTCCTCGTTTTCTTCTTGCTGATTCTCAGTCATTAATCCAATTCTTGTTATTTTGCTTCCTTTTTACCCATATTTTTTTCATACAAGTTGCTTTCTTTGCTTTGCTTTCTTTATCTATCATAATTAGTTTTTTCTTTTGGTTTTTTGAACTCGAAGAAAAGTGCTGGGGGATCGTCATCAGTATGACTTGAAAGTTGTTCCACAAATTAAGCAACGATTTCTCTTTTTTATTCATTTTGATTTCGACATTGAATACGATAACCTTCCTTGTCAATCAGAACAAAACTGGAATTCTCACTAAAACTACGATTTTCCTTTCTATCTTCATCGTCAAAACCGATTCTTTCTTCAAGGAATTTTTGGCCATATCAAAGCATCGTCTTCAGTGGTTTCTCTCAATCGAGGAATCTTAGCCGGTTAGCTGCAAGGCTACGTTATTGTGCCCAAACGGGAGCGTGGGCCAACAGCGACCATATTCTGGTGTTACAGACATGCCACTGCAGTGTCTTGCACGTATGTTTGGCCAAAAGATTGCATTCAACCACGAAGCACATGGGTGGTAGTCTAAGGATAAATACTATGACTACTACGGTAGAGCACGACAAACAGTCCGCAAATGTACGCAACCTCATTTGGCCACGACAAAGTTGGCCGAGCTACACGCGAAGGTAACCTTGTCAAAAATCCGGCAAAAGTACAGGGCTTGATGTATATAAATGTGGTACTGTTCGCGTGCCCCAATTCAGTGGTGTCCACTGGGCAGCTTTAGTATACGACACACGTGGTAGGAACTGTACAGCTGCTCCTTCGATTCTCTTCATGATTAACCGAATTACGGATGATTCAGGTGAAAGGCGCGATCGCTCTTCGCACTGCCTTATCACATTCTAGATCGATTTTTTATGAACATCACTAGCGAAATAAATTTTTAAAAATAAGCCGATTATATCTGTATACATCGAGAAATTCATTTCTATGTTGCTTCGCGTTGACAAAGAAAAGTGTAATTTGGGAAAATTAACGACAGTTCTAGTAGTCTAACGAGGTTTTTTCAAGAGTATCACCGTTTTTTGAACTCCATAACACAATTGGAGCTACTATTCTCACAAAACAACGCGGATATAACCATTTTAGTTTTACGTTCGAACAAAGATAAGCCAACTTGAACATCAATGGAGAAGCTTGGCAATGTCCACTTAGTGAAGATGGGCATCTAACCGACTGAGCGTGACACTACGAAAGTGTGCCGAACGCCGAAAGGATAAATCGCTCGATATAGTTAGCTCGAAAGGACGTACCGACTTCCCATAACGCGTTCAGCGGCTCACATTAAAACGAAAAACATACACTACTCAGTAAAACAACACTTTTTTATTTATTATATGTTTATATTTAGGTAAGCTAACGTTGGAAAACTTTTCATTCTTACAAAGTATAGTTTATTCGACAAAAATGAACTACCAGGAACTATCTCTTCTTTCATCAATTTTAAAATGCGAGCAAAATCTTCTGACGCTAAATAGGTCAGATTTTTTTCTACGTCCAACTATCTCAATACAATTTACTCTGGTTTCACAGTTTTCTTAAAAACCTCCAACAATCTGACCAGCACCGTGCTCTTGATGAACGGCAACATTACCACTGTTCTATCCAACTCCTTCTATAGGAATTTAGGAAAATTACTTAAAATTCCTCGAACATTTATAAAGATGCATGTAACCGTTATTAGAAGAAACCGTTGGAGGTAACCGTTGTAACCGTTCCTAGAAAGGCAAATCATGATCCATCTCAGTTTTGATTTCGCAAAATGGATGCATTCTCCGTCATGAAATCGTAGATGCACCGCATCCTTGGGAATGAAGTCTTCCAATGGGAGCCAATTTGGAAGAAATGGTCACTGTTGAAGGGGACTAACACGTGCACAGCAACCAGTCAGTAATCTCTGTGCCGAGCACTTTAATAATATCCATCATACAATCTTGAGCAGTTGGCTTTTTATAGGAATTCTCGCCGTAGCAGTGTCGGTGCGACGATTTACGAGTGCCATTTTAATGTTTGAAAGAATTTTCAATTAAACGGTGGACAACTCTAGTAATTTCTGACACGTAAATCCTTTTCCGAGAAATTGAGCTATCTGCCACTGAGCTGTACGCATGTGGAGGTAATGTGCCATTTTCTACTGAGAAATTCGTCCGAGAAGATGCTTGGGAGGGATTCAATCGTTGCAATTCTAGCACTTAACTGAACTATTACAATATTTAACTTTTATTTACTGGAAACTAGCTGACAGAAAGGCAAAACAGGGCCTCGATGGTGCAGTGGACAGCATTTGAGCCCCCGAAAAAGATGATAGCAGGTTTGAAGCTCACTCGTGGTTCCGAGTTTTGCTCATATCCCAGCACAATTGTGGTTGACAATTGAAACTTCTTAAGATTTAGAAGAAGAATTTTGACAGAAAAAATCGCTGTCCACTCATTATTTAGCTAGTCTGATGTGAATGTATTAGATCGCTTTCTATTACATCATAGATCCTTCTCCAGAAAGAAACGTATATAGGGGCAATGTAGTCAGAAAGTTGAAACAATCAAAAGAGTGCATTCCGGAAGGTTCTGCCACTAACGATAAACAGTGTGCTATATACTCTTCCGAAAATGTTTGTTCCAAGATTTTATAGAAGCGAAGGAAAAACAGTAAGGTAACAGAAGTTAGAAAGTGAATGCTCAGTTTCGGTGAGCTTCAAAAAACGGCTTAACTGTTCAGCATTTCGAAGCTTCACTAAGCGTAGATTAGGGAAGAAACGGATGACAGTAAATGTGCAAGATGTCAAATTGCACTACACTTATATAGATCGACTTATACCTATGGATCAGCCAGAAGAACAAATAAAGGATAAAGCTCTCGGTGTTGATCAATCCCTTTAGGGATGCGTCATGCATTCGACTTTATTAAGCATCGTTTGGAGGTGACTGAATGCATATCTGCCCATTACAATGACTCGCGGTGGTCAACCAATGTATCGAGCCAGCGCTGCTATCCTACCAGACAAGTCCGGTACCAATTTGCCGACCTCGGAGGAATGAAAGGCTTAGTGAGCTTGGACTCGGGGATCGATTCCACGTGTTTGTTGCACGGCGCCTCTGACCACTGCGCCACACGGGCCACTTTTATCTTCGAAACTTTTAGAACTCATTTGCTGAGCAGCTACTTTGTTTGTAATCGTTTTTTAAAAGTTAACTTACAGTGACTTTAGGCTGCTGGAAATGATGCTTTCAACGTAATCAATTCGCATCGTTTTTCCTCATGAGTTCAGATATAGAAATGTCGCAATGAAAACAAACAGAAATGTCACCAAAGCATAGGCCAAGATGTCTGTAACTGTACGGAGAATGCATAGATAATTCGAAGACTTCGCAGTGAAGTCATGTTGATGAAGGATGTTGACGCCATGAAGTGGCAGTTGACGAAATCAAGAAACTTCAGAGGAACCTCCCTTAAGAATTAGACAATAGTTATAAATGCCAATTTTCACGTAATCTCGGTGCAAACAAAAAAAAGTTGGAGAACCATTCGCCATTCCAAATACTTCGGAAACGTGAAATTAAAGCTCAGTATACTTATGCCACATGATCTGAATGGAAAATAAAGTGATTGTTGTCATAAAAAATGCTTCACGATTCTTTTATATAACCAAAAGGGCCCATTTCGCAGTCGCACTGTGGCGTGCAAGGAAGGGTAAATCCCACACATCAACTGAAAACTTCAGCGCAGTAGTTGTCCCGAGACGTAGTTCTTTAAACACTTCCCAAGTTTGAACTGGCAGTAGAGGATGGTTATAGTATATTTGGTGTTTTTTATGCTCCGATAATTCAATACAACTTTCTATATTTTGACGAAACGATTATACCAGAGATGAAATCTCACGAAATCCGTTAAAAGCATCAGATCTCGAACATAGGTAACCAAAAATGTACAACAGAAAGGATTCAACCATCGCACGACGATGCGCGCACACATGTTTCACAAATAGCGCTGGAGAAGTAGAAGTAGCCTAACAAACTGTTCCTCACCAAGCAAACACATGGGATCCTTCGTCAATCCACTACCACTTTTTCATCCACCTCGACAAGGAAGTATTTAACAACTACGTGACTATTGGCTTGATATATCGACTAACAGCAGCATTTGTTGCTGTCATAGGAATCACCGCCGTCTTGGAGGAATCCAAGTTGAAAAACAGAAAATTTCTCCTCTACTCCATAAAGGTCAGCACCTGCCTGTAGTGTTGACCTAAGAACGCTACAGTCCGGTTACCTCTGGTTTGGAAGGAAAATTGCGCTGGACCACCATTTGTTATAATTGTGAGAAAAGATAACAGAACCTTAAGGTGTAGCCGAAAAAAATAAGCTCGACCACCTTTGATGAGGACAGACTCAAGACCATGAAATAGTGGAAAACTCGCTGCAACACGGTAGACCCGTGAATACGGGTTATTTGGATACCTAACTAATGCTACTGATTGAAATACTTTCGAGTAATTTACTCGCAGAACTGCAGAATTCCACACCACTAGAATAAATAGTAGTTTGTCTTGTTAGAGTACAGGATGTAATCAATTTACCTTGGTCATTAAAATCGTGCTTGGTTATAGCATTTGAAAGTTGCGGTTCCAAATCGGTCCAAAATCGGTCTAAAATGATGTTGCAAAAAATGACTAAGTATAACACTGATACGTATAACACTAGATACGAAGAAATTTTATACGTGTAGATTTTTCCATTTGCATATTCCAATGGCTTTCAGTTGCATTATTTAAGTGTTCAATTTCATGTCTGGTTAGTACTGAACACAATATTTATAGAGCTACTTACATCGCTTCGGGTATCTAAGCAGTCCAGCGCCAAGTTTACATGAATTCCGTGAGGCTCTTCGGTTATTCCAGGTTGCGGATACAGCCACTATTTATTTTTACTTTTAGTTACCAAAAACGTTTATCGCTCACCTTTCAGGAAGTAGCGGGTGTTCAGCTGTCCGGAGAATTGACGCCGGAAACTGTGGAAGCCACTCGCAGGCCACGCTGCTCTCAAAGGGACACTCGCAAGACGATAGGCAGATTGAAAAGATTTGGTGGGTGCAGTGTGCTCTACAATGTAGGAAATCAAGCCTTTAGGTTTATACGCCTTTAGGTATCAAGTTTATACGTGGACGAAAAAAAGCATTCCGAATACGCATCACGAGGTGTCGAGAGAAGGTGGTAAAAGCAAATTTCATAGGCAGAGTACTACATCGGTTAACTTATCGCACTCTTCTGGGTCCCTTTTTAATGAATCAATACCCGTCTCAAAAGAGAAAGCAGGGAAAACTCAAAAAAGCATAACCATCTTTACTGTAACTAGATATATTACTGACTCCCAACTATCGCATTAGTGCATGGACTCTTTTGGAAGAATTGGAATAGACACTTCATTAACGATGAGTGACGTCCTCGTTGGTATAGAATACCTTGCAACGAGCTCAGAGCGACCATGGAGAATTTTCCATGTTTACTTTAACATATGACAAACCATGTGGACACATATGTCCATAAGTGACAACCTGAGTCGACGGTATGACAAGTCAGGGTAAGTCACGACGATGACATCCCGACGGTCTCCACAGGGAACATTTTCCTCCTGATAGTTTATCTTGGCGCACAGAACTTCTCTACCATGATTTCTGTAGTCATTCGATAGCTTGTCGAAAGTATAGCAAAATAGACGGGCTAAGAACAGAAAAGTCATTCTCCAGACTTAATCGTATACAGCAAAACGTTTTTTGGGCAGGTTTACTGACCGGTAATTTACGTAACAAACAAACGTTGCTTCACTTCAATCACTATGATGAATGGTGTTTAACTACATGGAATGTGTGGGTATAAAAAATACCAATACAGACAAAGTATAGGTTGCAACACACATCCAAATGCTAACAGCAGTATGTATGCATGGTGGACCATAGTAACATAAAGTAAATAATATCGCCCATATCACCCCTAGCCATTCAAAAATAAAACAAAGTCTCTTCACCAATCCTGTCATATTCATAGCCCCTCAACCCTCTTGTTTATCGAAATATTATCTTTCGTTGTCAAAAAACCAGCGAGCCCATAAAGACTGATAATTAGGTGTTGTGAAACCGAATACACTCTTTTGCTGTGGTTCGATCTTTCATAGGCCTTTATTGCCCCGATGGTTTCAGAAGAATATATATGCGGACACTGCATTCTTTCATATGATCACAAACAGTTCACAGTTTGATATCACCATTTGTTGTAAGCTTAAGTTTTTCGTTCCAAATCTTCCATATTCACAATACGACAGTATTTCTCTGTACATTTTCACGAAGAGCCAGGCCGTGCCAGTGTGTTCCCACGTCGTCAGCACGACCAAGAAACAACGCTTATGATGAATCGGTCGGTGTTGGCGCCTTCCAAGTAGGTTTCTCCCAGGGCCATTTCGAAATCTCGCATAGGTCTACCTTTGGTTGGGGGTTGGAAATGTCAAAGGTCTTTTCAACTTGGTTTATCTCCTGAAGGAAATGAATCGCTGATTTCTTCATAGTTCAATAGCACACCTTTAGTATTGAGTATGGAGAAAGATTATTATAAATAATATAACGGAAAATCTAGTTAAATAACGGAAACTATGGCAGAGACGTTCTACAGAGATAATTAGGAAAAATTTCATATAACTTTCGAAATTTAAATATTTAATACCTTACCATCTAGTGTGTTGCGCTTTTCCTAGTGTCATATCAGTATAACCTACTTCAGCACTTGCCAGCACGTCTCACTGGGACAAGAAGCACTTCACCGGTTTACATGAGCTCTCACTTAAGTGGTTTGTCTCTGAATATACGAACGACATTCCAAAAGCTACAATCCGGTAAGACTAAGTTGGGTAGCTTCCACATTCGTTGCTCATAATCCTGATTTAAGATCCACGATCCACAAAGCTTTCCAGCTCTGGGCGAAACAAGCTAATCAACGAAATTTACCAAAGGTATGTGCTGCCGTGTATTAAACGCTGTTAGAACTGTCGGATCCATCCAAGATATGATCACTGCGTTAGCCACCACCTGTGCATACCCCGAAAGTCCTAATTTTTCCACTGGACTTCAAATATCCATAGTGGTGTCATTCTGTGCTATCTCTTAGTTAACTGAGGCATGTGATTACCATGCAAGCCGTTCCTATTCAGTACAGAATTTTTAAATTGGCGTAAAAAGTGATTACTCACGTGACTGAATCATATGGTCGCTTAGCGAGCAAAAATCGCGAAAGTGGACCGATAAAAGGGTCAAGGTGCTTAGACACCGTGCTGGGTGCCTTAGCATAGGTAATCAAGAAAAAGGAAAGAAGCTAGTTCACCGAGAAAAACTACTGATAACGGAACCTAGTTCGATGAAATAAATGACTGGATCTAGATTCTGTTCTCTTATTCTGACTGACTATTGTCAGTGAGCACTCCTGTTTTGCATGAACAAACGCTATAAATGCTGAAGAGAAAGTAATCTTCAAGACCCAATGATTCGTCTCTTTGGCATTTTCTTTAGTAGATCCAAAGACAGCCCTTGTTTAATACTATATATGACGACGGTAGTTCAAACGCATCTATCCACGGACACAAATAACTTTTTCAGAAACTTGTCCAGAAACTTCTGTACTCAGTTAGTTCCCTGCTCATATTTGGCTCATTATTCGTATGCTGTACTTTATCTGAAATAATATTTCAAGTACATATTATCACCATTTATGTAGGTGATTTTCCGATTCGAAGAAGCAGCCTCTCAGGCAGATGCCGATATCAATATTCTATGGGCGGAGGGAGCTCATGGAGACCAATACGAGGTATACTGATCACGTTGAGTATCTGTACATTAGTTACCATACTATTTTAATTCTCTACAGTGGTTCATCTTCTAAGCGTCGTTGCAGGGTATTACTGGGTGTTAAACTGCTACGGGAGTTCATCTTCCAGGTATCACATAAGCCAAAGGGTTTGACATTTCCATCCAGAGTTGCATTTACAATAAAATCTACGCATGCAGAGGCTCAGTGCGACAGCAATGGCAGCATTCTCGCCTAAACACTATGCCAAAGACATCATACCAAAAGTGTGATGCTCTTCGTATGCTTTGAAAAGTGTATACTACTGCGCAGCTCTGATGATAACGTTTATTGGTGTCGGCTCGAGCTACTCGATGATTACCACTACTGCAGATGGTATCAGTGATACCATACTAAATAGTGGGCATGACGTACAAAATAATCAGGCACCCACTTATCTAATAGCTCTCGTACACTGAGCAACTAAGTTTTACGGCACTACAGAATGCTGATAGATGGAGGATCGCCTACGAAAATTTACATTGGATTTTCCATGATATGGCCACCAAAGGTGATGGGATAAAAGGATAAAGGATAAAGCTCTCGGCGCTGATCAATCCCTGAGGGATGTGCCACGCATTCGACTTTATTAGGTATCGTTGGAGGTGATTGAATGCATATCTGGCCTTTACGATGACTCGCGGTGGCCTACCGATGTATCGAGCCAATGTTGTTATCTTCCTAGACAGGTTTGGTACAAGCTTGCCGACCTCCGGAGGGATGGAAGGCTTGGTGGGCCTTGGGCGCAGGGATCGATTCCACGTGTGTGTCGCAGTGGCCCCACCAACCACTGCACCGTAAAGGTGATAGAACTGTGGGAAATACGCCCAATACCGCAATAGATTCAAAATGAACAGCAATCCGATCAGCTCATCTTACTCAGATTAATTAACGGCGAAATGATCACTCTTTTAGTTCTTCGTGTAGCGTGAACTTTACTAACATATTTCTAGGCTAACTATTCTAGACCCTAAGCATTTTACCAGGTGTTACTATGCAAGAGCGATACGGAAGCTGAACATAGCATCAAAAAAATTCTTCCACTAGTTGATGTTATTCGAATTCCGAGAATATAAACTATATAAAAAAATAAAGAATATCTAGTCACCAAGAAAAGGCGATTGTTAGATGCAAGATTTTTTTCGAAGCCTCTGCTGTACTTGGTACTTTGTGAACTTTCCAGTTCGACGGCGCATCCCCGAGAAAGAACATCTTGGCGCACACATTCTTTCCCGGACATTCAGAGCCACTCAACGGCGACATTCATTTCGACGACGCAGAGACGTGGGAGACCGACCTCAGCGCTGCTACCAACTAGTTTGTTTTTTCATTGCATACTTTTTTCAATATAAACTGGAAAGGTGGTGAATACAGGAATTTACAGACGGTAAAACCACATTGTTTTTTCGTTTGCTTCCTAAAAGGACAAGCTATTAACAAGTCAGTTATGCAAGTAGGATAAAACGTATAAATGTAATAAAGTACATGATTATTGCAGTGATCGACGGTTTTTTCCTTACGTGCTTGCACACGAGATTGGCCATGCACTGGGACTTCAGCACGCAAAGAAGCAGGAGGCAATCATGTATCCTTACTACAAGAACGTCCCACTGGATGAGATTAAGCTTGACCTCGACGATAAATGCGCTATCAATTGGAACTATGGTACGCGAACTGTTCCTCAAAACAAAAAAAAGAAGCCACCGAATGCGGATTCTTTCGTGATATAACACAAAGAACTGGTTCAGGACATGACTAGCTTCAATGGTGTTGCAGTTTTATAAGCTTCCGACTCTTTATTTTGTCTGAGAAAGGCAAAAGAAAGGCGGGAAACGAAACAAACGAAGTCGTTTGTTTCAAGAGAATCTTATGTGTGTTCAGATTCCGTCGTGGAGAGAAACTGTTGAATTTCAATTAACCAGTGTTGAACGTAACCGTTGCAGTCATTAGTTTATTTTATTGCCGTCCTTGCAATACGTCTCTTCTGTAACGACTTCACTAAAGTAGTGGATGATTCGATCATCAAGCGTCAATAACACCCTTTCTTTGAGGCAGCTCCAAATTAGGAAACGTTTTGAGGTTTACCCTGATCCGGCCATTACGCGAAAGATGTCGGTCATCGTACAGCATCCACTATTCGTCATACATAATACCGTGGTCAAAAAACTTTTGTCATTTTTCCGTCCTTCTGAATGCCACTTGTCGAGGCCTTCCTTCTTTTCCACACCTTTAAAATGTCGCACGGTCGTTTTCAGATGGACAACATCTAGTTCTTCTGCCATCCCTCGAATTCCGAGTTGTTGCATTCGAACAATGGCCCAGAGTTGGCCGTTGTCAGTCGCATCACTTCCACGACCGTCACCTCTCGCGATGCTCTTGCCTGCTAGCAAACATTTGTAAGCAATCACGAACTGCATGTCCATTAAAGATCACTCGATTATCTACTTGGTTGTTGTTGAACAGATGGATTCTCTACGCCTCACTCATATAGTAAAGTCACCTGAACTTGATTTTTTCTTTATCACAGAAGAATAATCAACGAAAACAAAACCGTTAGCGTAAATCAGTTTTACACCAAATGAAATCGTTGGGACGCGGAGAGACTGAAGAACGTTGATGCAACTGAGTTCATTCGTAGACAAATAGCATACAATTCTGAACAAGTTTTCAAATAATTCGAGACCCCTAAAGACCTAAAATTAAAAGCTTTAAAGAAAACTATCCTAAAATCATGTGAAATATAACCATAATGATGCTGAGATGTTTGCAAAACTCCGGACAGCTGATGTATGCGATGAGGACCAAACACACTATTACCCTTTCCGTGGGGCTAACCCATTCACCACCACACCATGCGAATTCTTCGTTTCGCCTTTCTCTCAACCGTGTTAATGATCTATATGTTAGTCCCCGGATGTGGTAATAACGAAGTAGGTCTCCGTCGCAGACACCAGTGGTCCGGTGATTTGCAAATATCTTAGCATTGTTACGATTATATTTAACACAATACCCCACCATTAAAAACGAGTAGGCAGCAAATAAAATGTGACAACATATCCTAGAAGTATCCTTTACCCTACTAGTAGCATAGGAAGTGATTACAAACAAAAATAACGCTGATAGAAAACCTAGCACTCAAAATCCCATGAACATTAGCCATTACAGTGAATTCCAGAACGAGTCTACCTTCTTTGGAAGGAAAATGCTCAGAATTCTGCATCGCACTTCTCTGCATGTGCAAACTTACTTGATACTTGAATGGCCCATCCTCACTGGTGGGGTGCGGGTCCCAACATAATCTCCATTTTTTAGAAATTTGCTGGTTCAGCCATTGTGGTTTCCTGGAATCCCGAGGTCAGCCTGGCCAAAGTCTGTCCCAGGTCTTCACCAACACAAGCAGTCGCGCCCCTTGTCGATCACAGGGAGATTTTCCACCATGCGACTAGTTTGGTACCAGAACGGTGACGGATCCTGCTAATGTTTCACTCTTAGCTGGCCTTCCTGATGGAAACGCCAGACTCCTTCTCAGCTTGGGAGACCCTGCCAGGGGAATGAATACCCTGTTGTACATCGCAGTCCGACAACCAGGAACACCTCTCAGCCACGATGAGGCGGTAAACCGTTGGAAGGACATATGCAAACACTTCGAGAGAATCTAGGCTAAACCCGTATTGCTTCGTCTGCCTGGTCTCAAACAAAATTGTGTTTTTTCAGTGGGAACATCAAAATTCTGCCTTTTCGTATGGCTGATGAGCGAAATCGTGCCGATCCATAACAACTCTGATCACATGGTGTCCAGCAGTAAGTGAGGATTGAATCTTTCTTATCGATTAGTCGAGTAACTCACAATCATGAATGACAACTTCCGTGATTGACCAGAAAAGCTTCCCGACATCATCAAATAAAATTCAGACCACTTGAACAACAGCCCGAAACAACGAGTTAAAGCAGTAAAAAGGATTCTAAAACGTGAGTTCTCCATTTTTTTTTTGGTGAGGAGCTTCGAAAAAAAATCCTTAGGAATCTGAAGATTTCTGACTTTTCTCATGGGTGCTGGGATAGCTCGTCTGCACGGTTGTGCGCGCCCCAGCATAATTTCCACTTCTTCGGAGTTTTGCTGGTTTAGCCATTGTGATTCCCTCGAGTCCTGAGGTCAGCAAGGCCAAAGTCTGACCCATGTCACTACCACTACAGCAGTCGCGGCTCTTGTAGATCAGGAGGGATTTGCCGCCATGCGACTAGTTTGATACTTGGACGGTGGTGGATCCCGACATTCGTTTACTCTTTATTGGGCTTCCTGATGGCAACGCCGGACTCCTCAGATTAGGAGGCCGTGATGGTGGTATGAATCACCCTCTGGGTATCGCAGCCCGACACCCAGAAGCTACTCCGAGCCACGATTAAGCGGTAAACTATAAGGAGGAGTCTAGTAAGTTAGGTTTAGAATCTAGCAAATTAAGTGTAGTTGCAACAGACCATCGGTGGTGCTCCTGGTCGTACTTTTTATCCAAGTGATCAGCTTCTATAGTGTCCGCTTGTCGTAGATAGATTTTTAAGCGTCTTTTTTCCTTTAGAAACGAGAATCCCACGTTGCCTATCGTCAAATGATGTTCAATGGTTGATAGAAGCGAAACTTCAGAAGTTCTTGCATTTCCCGCAAGTCGAGTCAAAAACGTACGGTGGGTCTCTCCTTCTTATTACTTATTAGATTAAAAACTACTTTTAATGGAAAGTATCCGTTCGGTCTTAGGTGAAGTTCTGTGCAATTTCTTACTGGGCTTGCATGCATACCGAGGTGGCCCTGAATATGTACATAGTGATTCTCTTGAGAATGAATACCACGGAGTCATGAAAGAGGTACGTTTCCTCATTTTTGAGAACCTTTCCCAGGTTAGGACATCATTTCATCACGAATACATAAGACCGTGCACTCACAGGAAGCTTCTGGTATCCAAGTTTGCTTTCTGAATGTTTGATTGTCGTTTTTTTTCTACTTTCATTTCTTGTCGAAGTTTTATCTGTTCACTGGAAGATTTTTGACTTTTCTCATTTACCCTACCAATAATTTATCAACTTCTAAGGATTCATTTCGTGAAGTACAGGTTTCTGAATTCGGACCAGTATCGTCCTCTTCTGTTCGGCGAATGACGCGGAGATCCCGGCGACGCTTAAAACGCGGCAAGCCCTCCGTCCTCAGTACGTTTTGTTTCCTTCCTTGTCGTTCTTTGCATTGAAAACCATACCTACAGCAAAATTGTGGAGGAAAAGACAGGAAGTGGTGATAATAGTGATAGCAACAATAATGATAACTGTAATAGAAAGGACAGTTCTTTGAAATCCTACATTTATTATATGAGGGCGTGTAGGGCAGTGGTTGGAAGCGCCCTGCATTACACATGGGGTCGATCCTCTCAGGTTCACCAAGCCCTCCATCCCTACGGGGCCGGTATACTGGTGCCAGACTTGTCTGGGAGGATAGCAGCACTGGCTCGATACATCGTTAGGCCAACCGTGAGTCATAAAAGCCGGATATGCACTCCATTACGTCCAACGACGCTTAATGAAGTCGAAAGCATGACGCATCCTTCAAGGATTGATCAATGCCGAGAGCTTTATCCTTTATTTTATCCTTTACGCCTAGTAATGGTCAGTACAACAGGCTCATTTTCCCGGATATTTCCAGGATTTGGATTCAAGTCTTCTTGGATTTCTTTTTTTTTTTGAAGAGTCAAATTGTTTAAAACTGAAACACTAGCGATGTACGAAGTATAATTATAACTGTCGAATTGAAGTTTTAAAAAAGTTAAAAACCCTCGGCGTTTGTCAGTCCCTGTGGGATACCCCATGCATTCAACTTCATTAAGCATCGTTAGAGTTTACCGAATGCACATCTGGCCTTTACAATGACTCGTGGTGGCTTACCGATGAATCGAGCCAGTGCTGCTATCCTCCCAGACAACTCTGGTGCCAATTTTCCAACCTCGGAGACATGGACGGCTTGGTGGGCCACGGGTGCTGGGATCGATCCCATCTGTGTGTCGCAGGACGCCTCCGACCATTGCGCTACACGCGCCCTTGGAGTGTTAGATTTCGATTTTCTAAAATCTGTAAGATTTTTTGATAGTATTCTCCAACTGGCTTTTAGAACATTATACCTTAGTTATCTCTTGGTTACTGATCTCTGATTTCAAATAAAGAGAGGTGTTTTTTCTGAAATTGCCATTCCTTTTTCAGATTCCTCATACTTCGACGACAAATTCTTCGACGACTTTCTCATCGAGTACCTACAACTTCAGTAGTGAACTTCTCTTGTAACCAGCATAACCGTCTCTTTCGGGTACATTTCTTCCCCGGGTCTCCTCTGTTGCGCTTTTGCTATCCAGTGATACATACCGTAGTTCATCCAGGTAGCCTTCATATCAAACGTACATTGCTTTCTTTTCGCTGTCTTCTGCGAGTTTTCCTATTTACGTTTTCTTCTCTTTGTGTGTTTTGTTGCTCGGTTCGTCTTGGCAAGGGTTTCTGATGAGAGCCTTATCTTCGCTGACCCCGAGTCTTCACGGCAACCGTAACGAGTGCATTATATGGTTAGGCTGGTTAGCTCTTGGTCCCAGTTAGCTAGACGCATTTTCTTTATTTACAGGTTGTTCGATGTGCAATCATAGTGATAGTGTGCAATCGCTCTACACGCGATATGTTAATGTAAATTATTTTCCATACTACTATACGTCGTATTTACTGTTTCATTGTTTTGTAATGTGTACCAGTCGTAATTATTTAATCACGCATGCAAAACAATCGATATCTAAACTATTTATGTGAAAAAGTAGAAGCGTGTTATAAAGATCTTAAAGAAGATCTTTAAAAAAAGAAACAGCAAAAACAGCAAGTGGATGAGTTACGCAGTTCTCCAAAGAGAATCAAAGGACAGAAACATGAAGGTCAAAGTTTGGAAAACAGCGAAAACGCCTTTGTTTTGTTCTCTTTATTCATTGCGCTTTATTCAGGTAAAATTGACATCACGTATAATAATTTAGAAGCAGTGAGTCTTACTGTAGTAGGAATTTTTATGAACACGCCAAATGCTATGACATGCTGAGAACAAAAGCAGCCAACGAGAAGAAAGTAGTCGTTCCTTTTCAACCGACATCGTTTAGACCCAACCCTCTGGAGGATTCCAGCCGTATCGAGTTAGCATTCGGTTCGAGTGTTCAATAAACTCATTCTGCGCCTCGATTTTTGTCTTCCCTACCAGTTTTTTCCACTCATCGGCACAACTCAGCGCACTGTTTCCATCTTAACATTCAACTGATCATACAAACAACTCTATTTAGGGGTCTAATATAAGGAATGGAAAATATGACCTGGGCATATTTCTGTGCTGCTTTTCGTGACATGAGTCAAATTGAAAGCAAGGAAAAGTGTTAAAAAATCTGCCTTTTCACATTGTAATATTGCGTACGTACTTGTTCTCTAACACCAGCGACTATCGACTAATCGCAAAATTTGCTACCGTCACGGTAGCAATGCCAGTCGCAAGGCAGTGAACCGTGATTCGCTCAACATAGGCCGGCAGCTACCTGAGGTAAAGACCTGGGGTTGTTATAGCCTAGGTATGGTGCTATTCGATGCAAAACCAAACTTCAGAAAATCTTTACTGAGCAGTCCTACGCACGTACCTTACCATTTCCATAGTGCTCAATGGTCCTGCCATCTAAGTATACGTAATAATATTGCGTATTACCTCGGTTTGGCTGTTGTTCAAAAATAAATGAGCATTTTTAACTATACTGCTTAAAATGTCATAACTTGCTTCAGAAAGAACCATTTTGCCAACAAGAAAGAAGTTTATTTTTTTCAGCTGCGTAAAATTTTGGAGTTCTGGAAGCGATAAATTCGTTGAAGGCATTTTTTGCGTCATCGTACTTGGTAAAGCATTTCTCCGGTAGGAAGATGCCAAGGTGCTTGAAAAAGCGATAGTCGGTAGGACAGAGGTTTGATGAATATGGCGGATGGGGCAAAGTTTCGTAGCCCAACCCGTTCAACTCGTGCAGCACTGGCTCCGCGACGAGAGGCCGAGTGTTGTCGTGTAAAAAGATTGGTCCTTTCCTGTTGACTAATGCCGTTCGTTGTTGTTGGAGTTTACGGTGGATTTCGTTGATTTGTTGCAATACTCCTCTGCCGTAATCTTTCCCACGGATTCAAAAAGCTGTTATGAATTAGTTCGGCTCCAGGCCACCAAAGAGTCACCATAACCTTTTATGGGGCAATTTCTTTCGGCTTTTGGAAGTGCTGTGGAGCCTGATGGCAATCCAGTCATTGAGCCGAACGTCGCTGGTTGTCGTACAAAATCCAATTCTCGTCGCACGTCGCACGATCGAGAAAAGGACCGCTTTTGTTGCGCTGAATAAGAGCAGACGCCACTTCAAAACGGCGACTCTTTTGATTATCGTTCAATTCGGCACTTACTCGCCGACTTTTTTTCTTTCATATGGGGTTCAAGTAAGCGGAAATTGTTCCTGTGCCTACGTCAAGCTGTTCAGCAACCTCTCGAACAGTTGTTCGCGTGTTTGCTTCCACTAGTGCGTTCAATTCGTCGTCGTCAAGTTCATCGGGACGACCGCGGCCTTCCTCATCTTCGAGATCGAAATCACCAGATCGGAATTTCCGGAACCATGTTCGCATTGTTGATTCACCAACAGTACCTTCACCCCAAACTTCATTAATGTTTCGAGCCGTCTCTGCTGCACCACGATCGAGTTTGAGCTCATAAAAGAAAATTTGACAAAAATTCGTTTTTAACACCTAACATTGCACAGCTCAAAATTGGTAAAAAAGAGAATTAACTTTTGAAAAAATTAAAAAAGTAAAAAATCGGCTTTCTAATAACATATAGTATTGAAAAATACAAAGAGTACTTTGTTGGAGAAAATACATTAAAACAGCAGACATTTTGAGACACTCATTTATTTCTGAACGACCTAATGTAGATGACTGCTTTGTCAATTGCTCAACACATGAGGAAATGGACAAATGCTTCGAGTTGTTCAACAAACAGTCAGAGTATATCAAGCTTACCAGTAAGAAACCGAAATAGAACTGGGCTCCATTTCTGAACGTTCAAATTTATCTATCCGAAAACGGCTACGTAACGAAATGGTAGCGAAAGCCAGGTAATAATGATATACCGGTTCATTACCTCCCTCTCACCACTCACACACAAAAAGGGCACTTGTAAGAAATATGTTTCAAACGATCAATGTTTCAAAGTGTGGGATCAAGATAAGAGCAGAAGGAGGAAGCCTTGAAAATGGTGCGAAAAATACTCATTTGTAATGGCTATGAAAGAGCGCTTGTGGCGCAGTGGTTGGAGGCGCCACTGCGACACACAAGTGAAATCGATTCCCTCGCTCATGGCCCACCAAGCCTTCCAACCCTCCGCAGTCGGCGAATTGGTACCAGACTTGTCTGGGAGGATAGCAGCACTGGCTCGATACATCGGTAGGCCACCACGAGTAGAGGCCAGATATGCATTCAATCACCTTCAACGATACTTAACGAAGTCGAATGCATGGGGCTTCTCTCAGCGATTGATCAACGCCGAGAGCTTCATCCTTTTATCCTTCTAATGGCTATGAAAGTGTAGCTCCTCAGAATTTGTGTAGAGTGCTCGGTGGTACCACGATCTAGTTTGAACTCATAAAAGAAAATTTGACAAAAATTCGTTTTTCAAATCTAAAACTGCACAGCTCAAAATTGGTAAAAAGAAAAAGTTGCTAAAAATACATCAAAACAATAAATATTTCCAAACGCTCATTTATTTCTGAACAACCCAATATTTGCATTTTCCCCAGACCCAATAAGAGGATTTATATACTATGTTTTGTCTGCTGAAGTTGTGAAAGTGTTTGGCTGAGAAGATTGCACGTTAGTTTGACCTCAACAGACTTTGAAGAGGGCGGAACCACCGAAATTCAGCTATTATGAATTGGTTGCTGCAGTCAAAAGTTCGTATTTGCTCATAAAGAAAAACTGTGAATTGTATGCGCTTTCTTAACATTTTTTATTTACTGCCTTTTTCCTTTTTAATGACAGGGTATGTTGCGAAATATAACTCGTATATAATGCTGAGATATTTGCAAAACTTCGGACCGCAGTTGTATGCGGTGGGGAACGAACACGCGCTGTTGTCCTTACAGGGTAGTAGCTCACTTCACTACCACACCATCCGGGTCCTTCGCTCTGTCTGTCTCTCAGCTAGTTCTATCGATCTTTTTCCATCAGCAATTACCCGTCAACGGAAAAGGAAAAAAGGAGAAAGGAAAAAGGCAGTGAATAAAGAGGGTTAAGATTGTGATTATAACTAAGCCTCAGCTTAACTGGGTTCAATGCCGATTTGGGCTCCCCAGATCAATCCCGTTGACGGGTGATTGCTGATGGCGAAAGATCGATAGAACTAACTGAGAGACAGGCAAAACGAAGAACCCGGATGGTGTGGTGGTGAAGTGCGCGACTCCCCGGAAAGGACAATAGCGCGCGTTCGTTCCCCACCGCATACACCTGCGGTCCGGAGTTTTGCAAATATCTCAGCATTATATATGAGTTCTATGCGCTTTGCTAAATTTTTATTCGATGCCTACTACAGTTTTTTGTAGCAGTGTATTATGTGAAATGCAACCACAGCGATGTTGAGATATCTGCGAAACTCCGGACCGCAACTGTCTGCGGTGGGGATCGAACACACTATTACCCTTTTCGGGCCCGCACAGAGTGGTGATGGACGCGCTAGCTCCTGGAGAGGGTAGAAACGTGTTCGATCCCCACTTCGTGCACCTGGGGTCCGGAGTTTTGCAGATATCTCAGCATCGATGTGATTGCAGGCACTTTATTGCAAACTATATAGACTGCAAACAGCTGCTACTGTCGGCCGGCTTGATTCAGCTATAAGGCTTGTCTTTTCACATAACATCCACAGTATCTGATGGCTGCGTGAAATTGAACACTATTTTCGTAGCTGATCGTAGATAACTGTACGAATTAATGCGAACTTTTTTGTTTACTGTGCAGTTGATCAGTTCCCATGCGTTCGACTTCTGCTTCAAAAGCTTACCTTTGTTTCTATTTTACCTTATTCGTATTAGTAGATGTTCATTCATGAACGTTGGATCTTTTGCTACTTTTTGATGTAAAGTGATTATAATCGTCATTATGGATAATTTAAAGTGAGGTACTTCCGATATTGTGGTCCATAACGGTGTCAAATTATTTGTCGCAATTGACATGGCATAGAGAAAGGCATCTTATTAACTCTTCAACTGCAGATTTTTCCAGTCTTATCTTATCAGACCTCCAAATGGTAACATCGTGGCTAGGAAGTGTTCCTAGGTGTCGACCCTCGATGTTCAGCGGAGGGATTTATTCTCCCAGTAAGGTCTCCCAACGGCGTTTCCATTAGGAAGCTCAGCTTAGAGTGAACAAATACCAGGATCCACCACCGTCCTGATATGAAACTAGTCGCATGGTAACAAATTTCCCTCTGATCCACACGGGCGGCGACTGCCTGTGCTGGTTGTGACCTGATGCAGTCTTTGGCCTGGCTAACCTCGGGACACTAGGGAATCACAATAATTAAACTAGCAAAACTCCGAAAAAATGGGAATTATGCCGAGGCCCGTATACTCGATGAGGTCGGGCCATCTAAGTATCCAAGTAAGTATCTTACCATGAGTTTGACTAAATTCCTACGACACAGAAACACCATGATATCTGTGTCCCTCCTCTAGGCGAAGCTCGTTTCTGGACCACTACATTAGCTAAAGATTTCAAGGCGTTACACATCTATAGAAGAGATAATGCATTAATCATATGCATAGTTTTTATACAATGTCTTTCCAAGTTTAAATACTTCTGGAATTCAAACTTTCAAAAAACTGGTAATAAATGTGTTTAAAATTTCCAACAAAACGGCGACGGCTACAGACATAAGCGATTACATTGGGAAACACCATAGTTGCTGGCTAGACAGAATTCCATCTGTACACTCACTTTCATGTTCGGAATATGCGCTTTGAAGCAGCAAGTGGAAGAAATAGAAGTTAGGGCTTATAGAAAATCAGAGTTTCATCGTCGTATAACAAGAAAACTTTTATACTGATGCAAAAATTTGTGGTTTTAATCGTTCTTAAACAGTGAAATTCACGACAAGCCGAGATATGTTGATTTAAGATTGAAAACGGGCCATTATTTTCACATCGTGTGACTACTATAGAAGTCATGTCGTCTAGTAAGTGCTAAAAATGCTCCGACCTACCGTAATCGCCGACGGTGACCTGCATGTAAAGCGCTTCGAGTTTCGTCTTGTCTTCCTCAGGTACGTCGAAATTCCCGTGCACTCCTTTGTAGCCGGCTCGACTCATCTTGTCAACAGCATTTGCGAAATCCTGAGTGCTTGTATGTGATACGGTGCTATGTGAGCTCTTTGAAGAACAGATATAACCCTCGGGCGCTTTTGGTAAAAAGAAAAGAACATGGGATCTCACAAAACCTAACTGTTTTATGCCTTTGGAGGAGTCAGAGCCTTCAAACGAAAACCTCATAAGGCGTGGTAAGGTGTGTTCAGTCCATTCCTATTTTAGTCCGCATGTTAAGAACTTGAGAGAAATAGTACCACAAGTCGTAATCTCGGACACGTTGAGAGATTTTCCTGTCTGTTGAGAAGATGCTTTGACGAAATAGTACTTGCAGTACCTACTATGGTACGTAAGAGCTTTCACCAATGAGGTCAAGCACATCTTAACTGCTTGCTAACCAGCAAATGGGAGCTTTTGGTGCTCCACCAGTTAGAAAATTTAACACCTGAGTGGGGAAAATATGGGTGGACTACGGTAGCACTCTGTGGATAGTATGGTGAATAAAGCAGTAATAAGCTCTTACATCATATCGAAAGAACGTAGGGACCCAGTTCCTGAGAAGGTTGAGGAACGAAATTCGTAACTGAGCTTCTTATGTCTGAGAGATTTTAGAGTCTTTTTCGCCAACGTTAAGGCTCTTAAGCGTGGCAAATCATCTTACCTTGTCTCTCCATAGATCTTTGTCATCCTTGTGTCTTCTTTCCCAATAGGCTTTGAACTCCAGAGCTCTGTGTTTCGCTTCAGCGTATTCAAGTTGCCACTTCTCCCATCTGAGTTCTAAGTTCCCTTTTTGTGTCATTAAACTGCTAAGAATTATAAATTGCCTTAGATGTAAATATCGCCTCGAAATTTTCGGTGTTCAGTAATTTTACTGCTGTAAAAATAATCCAGAGAAGTTTCGAAGAAGAGTTTACCGATCTCATTACACTATCTTGATTACTTCCGGATTAAATTCAAATGCGGACCTATGTATTACGTTTTGACATTTAAATCCTATTGTATGGCTTCAAACCTATTGCGTCTGCATGACTTGAAGCAGTTCGTCTGCTGCTTTGATGTTGTTGGGTAGACCACACATTTGTAAAATCCTGTCAGTTTTATTCGAAACTAAGTGCATTAGCGTAATTCTTGCCGATGCTGTTATCGTACCTTAACTTTTGACGTCGTGCTTCTTCCTCCTTTTCTTCCATAAACTGCTTCTCAACTTCCTAAAAAACCCGACCATAATTAACTATATCTGGTGCTATAATCAATATGAAGTATAAAAAATAGCTGTTGTCCGAGCAGTCGACTGCCAATCTGACAAACAGAGTGCTTATCCAACCAGATCAATGTATTTTTACATCTTTCTTTTACTTAAGTTTACCTAATAACTGTGGACCATCGATTCGGAGCTTCAGCTCTGATGAAGACGAAGACGTCGGAACGTTAACCGAATAAAAATAATCTCAATCTTAATCGTTTTATTTACTGTCTACTCGGGTATATTGCGAAATACAACTACTATAATGCTGAGATATTTGCAAAACTCCGGACCGCAGGTGTCTGCGGTGAGGAACGAACGCGCTATTGTCCTTTCCGGGGAGTAACGCACCACACCATGCGGGTCCTTCGTTTCGCCTGTCTCTCAGCTAGTGCTATCGATCTCTGCCAACAGCAACCACCCATGCATAAAAAAAATAATTTATCAACCTTGTGTAAGCTCAACAGTTTAAACACATGCATCTCTTTTGTCTTCAATAAAGTTAAACTGCTTTCCCACTGTGATGAAGCGAGCTCAACTCAGTTTGGTAAGAAGGAATCCAATTCGGAAGCCCAGCTAAGAGTAAGCCAATACCAATACCAGGAATCAACATCGTCATAGTATCAAACTATTCGCATGGTGGCAAATCTCCCTCTGATCCACAAAGCCGGCGACCGCCTGAGTTGGTAACGATCTGAAGAAGGCTTTGGCTACGCTAGCCTGGAGGCTCCATGGAACCACAATATATATATATATATATATATTGACCACAGAACGATGTAAACATCCCCTACCACATGAAATATAGACATCTATTGCTCATAACCAGCCGTATCTGAAGTAGCAAACGATTTGTGCATCACAACATGATTCTTACACACATTATCGAAGCTGACTACCATTCTAGAAAACGATTGAAATAGGAGGAAACTAATAAGATGGCAATCGCGATACCCATAAAGACAGCCTTCCAACTATTCAAGTGGACAAAATTTGCGGTGAACAAAGCAGGTCCATCATCTAGTCACTTGGTTATTGCACGGTCACCCATTGCCCGAAAAAACTATATTCTTCCAGAAAATCGAACCATCAGGTCGATTAACATTAATAGGATGTTTACTGAGAATTGTAAAATATAATCTAGTTCGAAGCCATTAGTGGTTGGATTCTTAGGGATGCTAAACGCAGTGCAGGAAGACCACCAACCCAATGATCAGAGTTCTTCACGAAAAGCCTTGAAGAAAGATATGATGCTCAACGAGTCTCTAGAGCGAGCAGACCCCACTGGGTTACTCTTATATGCGACAGGAAAAGTGGAAGACTTACTACCGTCCGGTCGAGCCACTCGACAATCAACGGGACTACAGGTGATACAGGTGAACTGGTTCGAAGTCTGCGCCTTGCACCGGAAGCGCTTACTGATTCACCTAACCCAGAAAATATATATACCGAGTTATTAAACTAATCAATGATCTGTTGATCTCGTACAATCACATACAGAGACAAGTTATCTGTTCTTTATGCTGCCCACCGCCTTAAGTCGTATGCACCATTTTACTAAACGTAGATGACATAGTCCCACAAGTGGGCTACCGCCTCATTACAACTGTCTCTGAATGTTAGGCGCCACAGTGAAGCGGATGATTCATCTATTCTGCTTGCTGTCCGAAGCTGAGGAGTTTGAAACTCCCGTGCAGAACCCTATTTAGGATTAAAACAATGCCGGGGCTCGCCATTCTAGAGACAATATAGTCGCTGATGGGAAAAAGGTGATGACATCAAGACACCTTGAATTGGTTTTAAAACTGCAACGGAGGAAATTTCGAGCAACCACAAAGTTAAAGTGAAATAGAAATTATGCATAAGATTCTTTGTGCTCAGTGAAGATAGGCCGTTCAGTTAACCCAGAGTTAAATACAAGGCGAGCATATCGGTCTGCAGTCCACTTCTACAAACGCCAATCACATAAAGTACATAAAGTTAGGACGCAAAAAAAATTTGAAAAAGTGGGAAGAACTACCGTCCATGCATCCGATGTGCTCTGCATTGGTGATACTAGATTTAGACGAAATTCTTTTAAACAGGAGACGATGTGAGGAAGAAGAGGGATACACAACTACCCTCAATTCAACCATTACAACCAAAATTGCCTACAATTTTTCGGAAAGTTAATCTACTAGTCAATTATGGTAAGACTGCCGATGACTGTCTACAGTATATTACTATTTTCGCTGTGTGAAACAAGATGAAAAACAGAAAACGTTTTATTTAACAAGTATGAAAAATATACAAACTGAAACGTTCAAGAATGCGCCATCATGTGAGCAGAGCGAGGACTTCATTAATTTCGTGAGGGTCAATAGAAACCTAAACCGTTGCAAGGAAGAAAATTCTCAAGCGTATTCATGGCTCCATTTGAGTATCTTCATTCTTCTCATCATTAGAAACACGTTTATCTGCACCGGGCACGAGATCTTGTCGATAGAGAACCTCGGCTGGAGGCAGCGGCTTGAGAAAGTCCGACGCACTATCTTTCTCCCTCTCTTTCTTCAACAACTCAGCAAGCTAAGAACATGTTTTAAACTTTTCTTAGAGTGATAGTTACCCTACCGTTAAAGTCACTTTTATACTCAAACTGACTATAGAATAGAAGGAATGGCATCGTGTACTGTAAGAGCCTCTCCTCTATTGCATCATAGCAAAAGATTCATTCAGCATTCATAAGTTACTTACTAAGTAGGAAACATACGTAACGTTTGTTAGAGTAAAACGAATCTTACCTTTGCTACATTTTCAGAAAAATTAAACCGGCCTTTCCTTCGTGCCCGCATGATTTTCCGTCCCTCTTCTCTGCTCTCAGCGAGAATCTTCTCCTGCAACAACACTAAAGCATTAATCGTGTACAACAACAAACACAACAAGTGCAGGCATGTATAAAGGTCCAAAGGCGATAAAAAAAATAGTTACTGATTTTGGATAAAGAAACAAACATAAAAGGAGGAACCAAACAGAGTAAAACGATGAAAATTCAGAATCCACTATGACTGAAGCATATTTTACCCTGTCTTTTTATGGAAACGAAAGAAAGTGCTGTCAGGCTGGAAAATACCTCATATCAAAAACAGATTTACTATATGCTAAAGTTCAGAAACATGTTAAAATTACGTATTGTACCATACAGCCACAGAGTAACATTTGGATAACTGGACGACGCATCCTCACTAGTTGAGCGACCTCAGCAAAATTTCCGCAAGTGTTTGCTCCAGGTCGTCACCACCACAAGTAGTTGCTACCCATGTGAATGAGGAGATTTGTCACCACTTAGTTGGGCTTCCTGATGAAAACGCCGGACTCCTCATCTTGGGAGATCCTATTGTGTGATGAATCTCCCAACTGTACATCGCAACCCGGCACCCAGTAACACCTCCCAGCCACGATGAGGAGGTAAACCGTTGGGAGGACATCCACAGAATAATAACACTCAAAAATAAGTACTAGTATGAAACCCAAAGATACCTTGACATCTTCTGGAATACCAGGATCTAATTTAAATAGTGAAATGAAAACACCACCCGGTGTACGCCGTCGCTGCCCATTATCAATCTGAATACTATCATAATCTAAAACAGTTGGTCTGGATGGAAAGGTACTTATTCCTACCATCATTCCACCGGAGCATTCGATTTTACGCGTTTCCTCGAAGAGTGATATGGCCTAAAAATTAAATTATACTCACTCTGAAACTGAATGCACCATACGTGAAAAGCGCATTTAGGGTAATACTAAGAAACCGCACGGGTCTTTTGCGCACCTTATCAATGCCACAAGCAACGACGATGGGACGTATAGGTTTCGGATTCCGCTCTCCTAGAGCTTTAGCTATTTCGTCCCCTAGTTGCTCAATAGAAATATCCGTGGCAAACTCCACTGCCATCAGTGTTTCCAAAGAGTACGATGGACTAAGGAGATGGCTACGGTCTGCTACCTTAAAAGTTAATATTTCCAATGTTCAGTAATCCAATACATTTACATTCCCACCTTCCCTTGCCATGAGCGCTTCAATCCACTATTAGTACTTCTGCCTCTACATACATTATGAGAGGTACCACACATACGTGGAACTCTGCCACTACCAGATGGTTCACGAAAACCTGTACAGGTAACATGGATAGGAAATAAGCAGTTTCAAAACGAAAAGGGCTAACTAGGGTTAGGTAGAAACCACATTTTTAATGTACTATATTTCCATAGGAAGAGAAAATAAGGCAAAGAATTTCACTTCAGAGACTAACTTGTTCCGAAAGACCATCAAGCTAAATACCATTTATCATTGCTGCGAAACTCAAGCAGTAATGTCAAACTCCCAAACTCCTCAGAAACAGCCTACCTCCTCTTTTGAATGAACTACTCGCAGTGGTTTTTGAAGAACAACAGTAGTCTTGTTCTGGTAATCGTTCACAAAAGGCAGTTTCAGCAGAAAGGTCTATAGCCGAATCACCAAAGGGATCATCGGATGTAGCGGACGCCACAGGCCCACTCAACTAAATTAATGACGTAAATAAAGAGAAATGGAAAAACGAATACTTCGATATTGTTCTCTATGCCGCAATTCCGAATACACCTGGATAACGTCCTTGTACCTCATCAACATTCCAAGCCGCTCAAATAGTTATTCTCGTACGAACCTTACAACGTTACAAAAGTAGAGATCCATGTTCACCAAGTAAGGAAGAGCTTACCGATGCGGAATCATTGTACTCAGAACGAACGACAGTCTTCGAAATGTAGTAGGATTCGACGCCACGGCTAATTTTATTCTCATCCTTAATCGCCAAAATATTGAAATTGGACTCAAGTATCAAACCGTTCCTGTACATACTGGTTTATCCAAAGCCATACTGGAACCTTTTTGAAAAAGGTTCTGCTCCATTAAAGCGTCCAGCCAAAGACGAGCTACTCGCTTTGCAACAGGACCGTTGTCTTCCTACAAATAAGAGATGATGCTTCAGATGATCAGTGCGGAAATAAAGAATACACTGTTTCTATACTGAGAAAAAAAAACACTAACCTCTTTTTCAACATCACTTGATTCACCTGCATTCACAGGAAGATCGTAGTCGTGGTCCGAATCCGAATCTGCAACAGATTTAAAGAAGACTTCCTTCCGGCATCATGATTTGATAAGTTGAATCCTTGGAATTCTCACAACTGATTTACACTGACGGCTCCTACATTCATTTATGACCATATGAGTAACATATGACCTACACATGAACAAACTTCGAAGGAGTTGCATAAAAATATTTCTTCCTAGTTTCTTTTACGTGTGTAAAATATCAAGTAACCCTCCTAACGGTCTAATGCCTCGCCGTGGCTGGAAGGTGTTCCTGGGTGTGGCGCTGCGATGTACAGCGGGGGATTCACCACCAGAACCTCCCAAACTGAGGAGTCTGGCGTTTCTATCACGAAACCAAGCTAAGAGCAAACCATTACCAGTATCCACCATCATACTGATATGAAGCTAGTCACATGGTGGCAAATCTCGCCCTGATCCATAAGGGCGGCGACTCCCATGGTGGTGACGACCCAGGGCAGACCTTGGCTAGGCTGGCCTCGATACTCCCGAGACCCATAATGGCTAAGCTGCCAAAAGTTCGGAAAAATGGAAGTTATGCTAAGGCCTGCACAACAAGTGAAGACAGGCTGTCCAAGTTTCCAAGTAAGTAAGGTGTAACTTGACACTAGATTCTGCTTCCGACAACGTGTTAATATGTATCGCTCCGGAGCAGACTTTATGAAAATAACGTGGAAATTCTTCATCTCACCATCTGCCTTCCTTCTATAATCCATTCTGCCTGAAATGACAGCGTAACAAAACTATCAGCATGAAATTCCATAAAAATGGGCAAATACGCAAAGGCTCATAAACCTCGGGGGAATTCCGAACATCAAACATTTTTGTTACAAGTTCCACAGTAATACTAACCTGCTATCAGTTTATTAAACCTCATAATATCTACACACCATGTTAGATGTCTTTGAAACAGTAAAAAAAGAATGTCATACTGTAGTTTATGTACCGTAGGAAGAATGTAAAAGAAATACCTGTATACAGGAAACAAAAAGGGAAAAAAACAACTACTACTGTTAAAAAGCCGCAAACCCTTATCCTTGGAAACGCAAGAACGCAGTTAAGGAATGAGCGGCATTGCAGACAAAGGAGATTCAGTCTATGTTTAAACGTAAATGGTCTTAGCTAGTGTCTCGGTGCCGGCATGAGACATGCATGACTCTTTTTTACTATTTATTCCACCATACAGAGCTTTTCTGACATATTTCTATGTACATTTGACTTCTCCAACACCAATATTCCAGGTGTTGGCCAAGAAAACTAGTAATAATTTACAGTACAGAGTTTCTCCAACAACGTTGTTCACTTGAATTCCGTGATAGCAGTACCAAAGAGACTCGTGTTTGTGAGCAACCCTCAAAAAACGCGAAAGTACCACATATGACAAAGTGACTTAAACGCAGTAGGTGTCTTCCATCCGCCCCGGAGCGACTGCCTCCAAGAATCCTGCCGTAATCGCTGCCTTTAGTATCAATGAAGAAGCATGAACACTGCAGTTAGTTAACGTGTATATGGATCACGATCGTGCGCTCTTTGGGCTGCATGGGGTAAAAACGTCTCAACATGGCAAGAATTAAAGGTCGTTTTTGTATCCCATCTATACTCTGACTACTGTGCACTCAGACATCTGTGGTGTGCTTTAGAGGGTACACATTGCAGTTTTTTCAACTCTGGAAAACACTACCTGGATCCATTCTTTGCACAGAAATCAGAAAATTCTGGAAATAATAGGCTTCAGCTGATGTTAAAAAGCTACCAATATCGAATAAAACTGCGCAAATATCACTCAATATTTAAATTTTCGTGCATGTATACTCCAATGTGTGAATCTTAGTTAACAGAAAGGATCAAATTTTGCATTAGTCCTAGAGTCTACGCGATATATAATGGTAATAAAGCAACCCTTTTGTCACACTCTCTCGCTATATTAAAAGGACTAAATGGCTGTCAGTACTGTCACACTATCAAGAAATACAATTAACCAGACATCTCGATGTTTCAGAGACAAAAGAAGTACTACATACTACGTTTAATTAAGATTTGCTGCTCGAAATCTGTCCGCTTAGGGGTGACACACTCATGACTTCTTTAGTTAACTATGCCTTTCTACATTCTATTTCTGACTTAAAGGCAGCGAGTATACCTCCGAATTATTTCACTCCAAAAACTTCACAACTATGCTGACTAAAAGCTTAGGATCGTCGGCACTACTACCAGAAACAATAGTACTAGGAAGGCAAAAATATTAGAGTCAGAGCATGTGTTATGCATCAAATAGACGCTATCTATATGCATATATGTATAAATACATATACACATGTACATACATATGTGTATATATACAAACATAAGAAATAGACTACGAAGAGACGCTCTTAACATATGAAACTAATGCATTAAAACTAGCTCTATTTCTCAACCCTTATTATGAGTATTTCCCCAACCACGACGATGATAATCCTTGTAGTCGTCCCAGATCATGGATCTCGCTCTAGCTTGTTCATCGTTCTCCTCTTGATAGCACTCTGATGAGCATGCATCTTCCGCATTACTTAACATGAATTGCGCATTGAATAAAATGAGCTGTCCCTGTCAGGTATATCTGGAAAGGTTATCTTTCCAAAAAAAAACCCCTAACAAATACCTTGTAGGGCACGTCTTTTGCTCTTTTTGCGATGGAATTGAAGTGCTGCCGAACCTTTGGTTGTACCATTCATCTACTGTCATTGTAGGAATAGATGGATAACCAAGACCAAACACAGACTTCTGTTGCGTCGAACGAGTGATAATGAACGGCCTCAAACCTGCTGAAATGCAACGAAACCCTTATTGGTAAAGCAAACAATCCGTTTGTTTTCAATATTATATTTTTACCTACCCGAGTTTCCGTCACTGACGAGCAGTGACGAATTAATGGACGGCTTCTTATCTACAACAGATGCTCCCTTCTCTTCACTGGATGCTTGCATTCGTTTCTGCATCATTTCAACAAGAGGCAACTCGCCTGAAACACTAAATAAAATAGCGATTGATTGGAAAGCTATATGATTGAATGTTAAATTTAAAAAGGAGAAAAGCAAGAAAACAAAATACGAAGAACTAAAGTTTATTCTCAAGAAAACAACCTTCAATCGACTCAAGCTCTTCCAATACTTTCTGCGACCAGTATCTCAACACAGCGAGATGAAGTGCTCTCTTAAAGCAACATATTACAGCTAAGAACGCTGATGATATTAGCAAGACTTGAACATTTCATCTCTCGAACAAACCTGAACTGACTCATCCGTTTTGTTTAAATCAAGTTGACCCCTGAGTTGCTCTATAATCGCCTTCAGTTCCTTTTGTTTTCGAAAACGAGCAATTTTTTGTTCTCGCAATTCCTCACCCGTGAACTTCTTTTTCCGTAAATTCGCTTCATCAGAACATCCTGAGCAATACTAATCATGACGAAAACATAAGAGATTAAAGTAAACAAACGATTTTCGAGAAATTTAGAAAAATGATAAGGATTTCCATGAATACAAACAGGACAAATTACAGGTTCACAAACAATGCCCACTGAAATTAACCATGGTAGCATATAACCATTCGTTATTTGTATAATCAATCACCGTTTCTCCATGATAGATAACTCGACCTATGTATAACTTTATTTTTACTGCTCATTATTTTTTTTCATGACGAGGTATTATATAAAATACAACCAGAATGATGATGACACATTCGCAAAACCTAGACCTCAGTTCAGAATCGAACCCGCGATTATCCTTTCCGGGTGACTAACGTGTTACCTACAGCACCACTGAGGCCCTTGCTTTGCCTTTCTCCTGTTAGGTTCGTTGTGATACAACAGCATTTAGGAGATCATTTGTGGCTGATAGTATCCGCTATGTAATCTGCAACCCGAATAACAACTAGACGACTGGGATAAGAACCACCGAAGCCTCCACGCCTTAGTATTACAGAATTTTCTATGAACTCCACTCGCAGAAGAAACACGAAGAGTAGCCATTCTTTTCGCACCAGATCGCTAACTTTCACATTCTTTGATTATGGATGACCACAGGGATCTCGTCGAACTCTAAACTGGGTTTCGATTGCATGCTCATTGATAATCATTTTGACTCTTCCCAAATAGATAAGGGCACAGTTGCTGGAGACAATCCGAGATTGCTTCCTCTGTGTTGCTAGTTCAAATAACTGCTGATGACTGAAAGCTTCTGAGCAAATCAACGCACAGGATAAAGTCCAATATACCTAAATTACCACGCATCTGCGCATGCAAGCCTGGTGTACTTTTGATTGTGTTCAACCCACAATTGGTTTTTTAGGGATGCGCTAGATAGCCTCGTGACTATTGGGTCGAGATTCCGAAAAATCCGTCGGCTACGTATGAGTGATGCTTGAAATAAACTTCCAAATGGAGGCTCAGATTAGTCATTTAAGTACACTTCACTGTAATTGCCACACTGCTCATAAAAGATTGTGGATATACGTGGATCTTGTGAATTTTTGTGAGACCACAATGATCACTTTACCGATGTTTAGCACATATTTTCAGGATGCATTAGGAAATTCCTTAAATCTTTCAATGGTAAAGAGTAAAATGTGGGTGAAAACTTTGGAAATATGTGAAAGTCAAAAGCAAGCTGTGTTTTGAAAAGGGAATATAACCAAACTCGTGAAACTTCATGCTTCACTGAGGAAGATCCGACTCGATGCGAAGACAAAGATGCCACATCGAGAAGACGAACCACTGGGGACCATCGACTCGAATCATCAATTATGATGAAGACGAAGACGTCGAAACGCTAGCCGAATAAAACCTATATAACATCCTCGTGTAAGCTCAACAATTTGAACTCAAATCTATTAAATGTAAACGGCTTAAGTACACGCACCAGCTTAACCACTGGATCAACAACAGCCCTCATAAGTCTAGCACAAGTACCATTGGATCGATCATCCCATTATTCCGCTGAATTACAATTGGGGTGGGAAATATCACAGCTTGTCATAAGGCACGTTATCATAGCAACCTTAAAATGACTGCCACATTAAATCTCAAAGATTGGGATCCTCCATGAGTTCTACTAGCACAGAAAATATAGCAAACACCTCTATGTGATTAGAAGTTCACCCATACAGCTAGGTAAAATATAACCGGCATTTTCCTCGATGAAAAATAACTGAGAAAAAATTTTTTGCCGAAATTTTGTAAAATATGAAATGCTCAGACTCTATATCTATTCGAACATCTGTAACACCAGTTCCGCTCATATTGGATCAATGGAAGTTCTATAGATTTTTATAAACAAAATACTTGAAAACTAATTCTTTGTACATAAATTGGTTAAGACAGCAACTGTCGACCATCTGCTGGGACCATCGGCTATGATGAAGGCGAAGACGTCAAACATTAGCCGAATAAAAATTATTTGTCAATACTGTGTAAGCTTACCAAAGAAAGAATACATAAAAGTTGATTAAATACTAAGACCTAGAAAAGAAATAGCAGAATTTTCCAAGATGTTGCGGAAAAAAATGCAGTTTTCCAACTGACTGCTACTGCAGTTAAAGAAATAGGCATCAAAAAAGAATTAAATTCTATACCTTCCTCGTCTTCCTGAAGAAGCAGACTCCATCCAATTTTAAACCCGTAGCATTGCAAGCGGCGTAAAAAGTCAGTATAATACACCTGAAACTGGAGTGAATTCCCCTTAGTGTTAACCAATGCCCTAAAGGTTTAATCACAAGAAATAAGTGATAGGGAAGATAAAGCTAGTACGACATAAACCTGCTTTCCTGACAGGTTAAGGGAAATAAAATCACAAACTGGAAATCACCAAAAGCACGTCAACATTTAAAGCCACAAGCCTAATTTTGTGCCTCTTTAATTGACGTCTTTTTAGCCACACCTGTTGCAACCTGAAATCAACTCGTGCCCGGCGGTCTACCACCCCGCGAATAACTCATACAAATGCCTTTCATAAGGAAATTTTCCCGTGCTACTCTCAAAAAAAAGCAAACATTCGTGTGAAAGCGGGACTCATGCTCTATCCTTCGAAACATGGAAAGATCTTCGTACAATCTATAACGTTCACCCGTTATCTCTGTCCCTTCTTTCATCATGTGGCTTAACGAAAAAACTCATCCAAAAAAGCTTTTTGTATACTATTAAGTGTAAAGAGTAGCTCCTCCATACGCTTGCTACATTGGTCTGTGTTCGACAAGCTACCCACTGAATATATAAAGCACAGTAGCAACTCGTAAGCGGTAAAATAAACAATCAGGAAGGAAATGAGCTGCTGTCAATCGACACCAAGAGCTCTCCCTACCACGTGTAGAATGTGAGTAGGAAGCAACTCATAGACTCTAAGTGTTAAACACATCTAACAAGAAGGAGAATGACATTTGATGATCAGTGACGTATTTTATCCTCCTGTTAAGACGATCGTATCTAATTACTTTAGCACCAGCCTTTCCGATTACCAGGTAACTTAAATAGAACTTGGAATAAAATAATTTAAGATGTTGCATTCACTGAAAACAAAATCAGGTTACCACTCTATAATTACTCCTAACCTCCCAACGGTTTACCGCCTCATGGTGGCTGGGAGGTGTTCCTGAGTGTTGGGCTGCGATGTACAGCGTGGGGTTTCATTTCTCCAGCAGTATCTAAGCAGAGTAGTTCGGCGTTTCTACTAGGAAGCCCACCTAAGAGTAAATCAGTACTAGGATCCACCAACGCCCTGGTATCAAATTAGTCGCATGATGGCAAATCTCACTCTGACCCACAAAAACTGCGACTGCCTTTGTGCTGACGACCTGGAGCCGATTTTGGCTAAACTGACTTCGGGACTCCAGGAAACCACAATTGCTAAATCAAGAAACTCCGAAAAATGGAAATTATGCTGGGTCCGCACAACCAATGAACATGGGTCACCCAAGTGCCCAAGTAAGTAACTACTCGTAAGCGGTTAAAATTTGATCAAAAAAGTCTGAACGAGATAAACCTTAGCTAATCGTAATTGCTCCGCACGATGCCTTGGATCTGTCACTGTGTTATGATGTGCGACACCAAGATAACAAGGGATGAGCAAGAAGCAAAGGGAAGAAGTGGGTAAATCTTCAACCTGAAATCTGTTTTTACGCCATATGTCCGCTACATCATTCAGTGTTGACAATAAACGAAGAGTCGAAGTAACTGCACTGCAAAATAAAAGTGGACATAGAATAAGCGCAACATCTAGGAGAGATTACCTGCTCGTTGTCTGAGAATAAGTCCAGCTTAGACACAGATCTAGTCAAGTTTTCCAGCGTCTGTATGACACCTTCGATCCGGCTCTGAATAGTCATGTATCTATTATGGTAAGTAACCCAACAGTAGGGACAACATAAGTAAAGAACAGAGAAATGGAGAATTGAAAATATGGGTGAACTAAACAAATTTGAGCTCAAAAAAGTGTTAAAGGAAAACGAGTCAAAAAGACACGATGAGAAGGGAGATAAGAAGCAAAAAAACTTTCAGATAAAAAAGCACATTAGTTTACTGTTAGCGAATTGAAAAAAGAAGCCGATGACATAGTGTTCCTGAGCGTTGAATTCTGGTGTAACTCAAAGTTCATTCTACAGGAAGAGTTGAAACTGTTAAGGAGTTCAAAATTTCCTCATGAAAGCCCAGGTAAGAGTAAACCTATGCCCACTATCCTGCAGGAGACTTAGGTGTGAATAGTATAGCATACCATTTAGGATCATTCACAATAATCGATGATAGCCAGGGGAAACAATTTAGGTACTCAATGGCACGGCTAAATCTGGGCTGGCCTGGACAGGTCCAAGCTGAAACTATACTACGGCGAGCACCACGGGTCATTTAGGTATCCAAATAAGTAAACAAATTGTACTTTAGCATTCAGATGTATTTCCCTTACTTGTAAATCCGCAGAAGAGAAGTGCCCATCTGTGATGTCATTAATGACTTCCTCTGCCTTCTTGAAGTCGTCAGCAAGTGTTCTGGAGTCGCCGTCATCACCGTCACCACCGTCACTCCCTTCAGAACTGGACATCTGAAATTTGATATCACAAAAGATTACATGTGGTAGATGAGGAACCAAAACTGCACGCTTTCAACCAATGAGATAACAGAAATTCAGTCAAAGTTAGGATATACGCATGTACGTGTATGCGTGTACGCGCACGTACGTGTATGCGTGCACACGCATATATATGTGCATACGCACATTTATCCATATATACACTAACAATATATACGTTTATACACTACCTACATATGTGCATACACATTTAAAACAAGCGAAGGTGCTGCTAGTTCGACCCCCTCCGCTAACGATCTGCTCCAATCCACGTGGGAACGCCTCAGCCTTGCGATCTCAGAGATGGCAATCAAAATCGACATGACCAGCATCCTAAGACGTCCACAAAGAAGACGAAGTCCTCAAGCAACAGACGAAACAACACGCAAAACGTTCCGAAACAATTGTGGACGACGAATGCGAAGGAAACCAATGAGTTCTGGTATTTCTGGGATCCAAACACTAGATCTGATGACGGATCATGTAAAATGAACAAACAAATAAACAAATCTAAAACATGAATTCAACGATGGAACCACGCCCTTCTGATGAATGCGGCGACCGCCGTCGATTTGCGAAAACACCTTTGTTTGAAATTTTCGCGTCGACGACGCGTAGTTGGTGTCACTTCAGAACAACCCATTCCTTGTCCGTCCTCGTATATGGCGGTTGCGTTCGCGATATTTGACCGAGATGTAAGTATTTGGAAGGATTTCTTTCTGTTAAATTTCGAACAAAATAAGTTGCAGAGATGTTTTTTGGATGTACCCAGCTGTTGAGGTGTTATGAAAGAATGAAAGAATGAAATGTACTAGAAAGCAACGCGCACTTTCGTATTTCTCTAGAACGTGCGTTTGCTAAACGCCATAAACGACGTGTACCGAAGTCATGCGTACGAAGTGGAGCTGTTCATACACTGTTCGCTGGATATCGTTGACGAAAAAGCCTCAAAAGCAAATGAAATGTTCTTGGGACAGCTCTATAGCGATCAGACGTACAAGGTATGTTTCCGTATCTGAGCAGAGATTCAAGCGAAATAAAGGCCTGTTCAGTTGAGCAATAGTCTGGAGACTTTGTTTAGGAACGGGCCTCGTAGTTTATTGTACATATTTGACGGTAGTATAAAGTGGCAGAGTGTGGCGCACTGGCCGGAGGCGCCATGCAATACACCTGGGATCGTTCCTCACGTCACAGGCACACCAAGCTCTCCATCGCTCGGGGTTTGGCAAATTGGTAACAGAATTATCTGGGAGGATAGCAGCACTAGCTCGATACATCGGTAGGCCACCGCGATTCGTTGTAAAGGCCAGATATGCATTCAATCATCTCCAACGATGTTTAATGAAGTCGAATGCATTGCGCATCCCTCAAGGATTGATCGACACCAAGAGCTTTGTCCTATATCCTTTATAAACGCATCGATTACTGTTAAGTGGTAGAGTTCGTAATACTACGCTGTGACTTCGCTGACAGTGTTGGAAATAATTTCGACTACAAACACATGCTCTAATCTTTGGTTTTTTCTTTTTTTTGGTGAGTATAGGGACCTTCTATTCATTACATACCACCAAAACGTTCACATTGAGAGGCAAGGCATTACAAGTTAGATTGCTGAAAGTTAGTTATTTTAGTCAACCTCATGTTACCAATCCGAGAAAGTATTACAGGTTAGATCAGTCAATCATAGGTTGTTGACCTTGTCATTCAAACCGTCCACTTTACATGCGCCACTTAGTTTTATTGCGAGGCGGGCATTCGTATCTCTAACGAATCTAGGAACAAGAACTGAAGTCGAATGGCAATCCATTTGGTGCAGCCGACAGTCGCTCCAGAGAGATTCGATTGTGAAAGCTTTTACAAGTCCTTCAGGAGCCAACTAGCATTTGTAAAGCTGACGTATTACATCCCATGATCACAATGTTTACTGATTGAGATGCGCGAGAGATTTACAGTCTGAACACGGCGATACCGCGACTATGAGAAACAACTTTCACAACTATTCATGCGATGTTCCACTGAGGAAGATTCGACTCGATAGAGAGACGAAGACGCCACGTCAAGAAGACGAACTGTGGACCATCGATTCGAATCATCGGCTCTGATGAAGACAAAGACGTCAAGGCGTTAGCCAAATAATCTATTTATTACACTCGTGTAAGCTCAGGAATTTAAAACATGTTGATTGTTTTATTTTCGAGGTTCAGTGATGGTCGGTTTGAAAACTATACATTTTTCTTCTTTGCACTGAAGTTCAATAGTAATTGATCGGCCGAACATTAAAAGATGATAGACTTGGATGACGCTATGCGATGCTTTTAAGGCATCGTACGGATTTACTCTGCAAAAGAGTTTGTAAAGTCAAGGGAGCAAGGTATACACTTTACTCTAAATGTTTTAGTTTTCTTGGTTTTCAACTTCGAGAAATACGTTTTCGGGATGCTTTATAGTTCTTGATATTTTCGTTGAGCAAACATGAGGTGTTACTTTTTTGTTTATTCCATTAAAATTCGCATTTCGTTTCGAAGAACGTTCTTCCTCAGTGGAAGGCACATAAAAAAGCGGCTCTGAAAGAGGCGTTACCGCCGAAATTTCAGCTTTAACGAAGTAAAGAATATGGCTAGAAATCTATGGTACAAGTCGCAAAGCATGTGCACCAAATAAACTGACCACTTCGAGCCGAGGAAATTGTATCAAACGCTATGACGACTTGGAGCTTCGTATCGATCTGCCAGATTTCTGGACCTCTGGCAGACTGATACGAAGTTCCAAGTCGTTATGTCGTCTACGACATGTTCCTCGGCTTGAAGTGATCATTTTATTTGGAATAAAGAATAAAGTAACACCTCGTGTTTGACAAGAATATCGAGAACTATTTGATCAATGCCGAGGTTAATAGAAAGTCAGTCATGCTTTGTAGTTCTACTTAGAGGTTGGTCACTGGTTTCGTACCTCTGCGAATCAAAACCTTTTTAGTCGTTTGGATTCATTACGAATACTGGAGTGCGAATGGTTTTAGTTCTCGAAATAAACAATCTCGAGTTGAAAGATCTGGATATACGAGGGATATTCAAGAGGTTTCACACTCTCTACTGCAATGCCATCTCCAATCCTTTTCATCCTTTGGGGGACGAAATTTCTTCGAAGTAAGTTGCTTCTTTCTATCCTACAATCTTCAGTATCTTTCATTCCGTTGTCAGTTTCGAAATCATTAACAGTATCCAGTGAAAATCTTTATCATTTTGTCAATCTGTTTATTTAAGGAACATTCTGGGAGCGGCTATGCGAATATTAAACGGAGATGGTGAAACCTAATGTGATGTCGTACTAATATTTTTTATTTAATTTGTGTATAAACGGACAATGGCTACTGTGTTTTTCTTTGTGTGGATATGTGTTTATCACTTATAGTGAAGTCTATACATCTATGTAAGGTTTTCTATACCAGCAAATTTTCCTTTCTCAGATGGACGAAGGATTTAATGCTACCGTCCGTATAACAAATATTAGTGACTTTATAGCTCCAAGTGCGGTACGTTCTGGTCTCGTATTTCCTTTTCTTCTACCCCCAAATTTCTTCCAACGCTCCATATAGCTTATTGCATTATTTTGTTGTTGTATTGCCATTAGGGGAAAGCTGGGTGTAGAATTGTTAATATTAAATTACTAATGGCTATCTAAATAGTTGGATACTTGGACAGCTCTTCCTCACTGGTTGTGCGGGATCCAGCAAAATTTACATTTTTTTCGGAGTTTTGCTGGGTTAGCCATTGTGGTTGGAGTCCTGGGGTCAGTCTAGCCCCAGGTCGTCGCCACCACAGGCAGTCGCAGCGCTTGTCGATAAGAGGGAGATTTGCCTGACTAATTTGATACTAGGACAGTTCTGGATCCTGGTATTGGTTTACTGTTAGCTGGGCTTTCTGATGGAAGCGCCGGACTCCTTTTCAGTTTGGGTGACGTTGCTGGGGATGAATCTCCCCGCTGTACATCGCAGCCCGACACCCAGGAACACCTTCCAGCCACAATGAGGCGGTAAACCGTTCGAAGGCGCTATCTAAATAGCCAGTTAAAACCCAGCTTAATTACTTTTTTATACGTTCTGCGGGCATAAAGAAGGTAATGACTGTGTGCTTTTTGTTCTGTACTTGTTACACTTCGTATTATTTGAACGGGGTGAATCTCGTTGACGGCTTTTGCCTTGGCTCGTTTTTTTGTTCCAAATTGTTCTTTATTTTAATCCGGAAAATAGTTTTAATCGATTATCATTATATGACTATCATCATAGGGATGGTTGCATACCTCGTTTATTTCTGTTCCTACGCCGTGATAGATTCTTGAACTTAAGGAAGTTCAGCAACGTTTCCATGGTTACACCCAGTCCTCGAACTTATTGTCACAGAGACAAAGTTCTCGTTCGCAGAAACGGAACAAATAATAGCCTAATTGCGCATTGTCAGATGGTAGGGATAGGGGTCCAAGTGTCCAGCATGGCCCATTTAGTTGTCTGCGTGAGCCTCGTCAGTCCAAAACAGTTGCAGAATCGCTTTGTTTGCTTTTCATTCAAGGTAGCGGTGAGCTTGTGGAGTGGTTCTATGTAGTGACTGAAAAGACCATCTGGCTGTGCTTCAGCGGCTCCACTGAATATCACCACTAATGAGTCCTAGTGAATGAAAGCTTGCGATTATGATGATCTGAACTCAGTTAAGTTGCGTCCTGGCTACGATGAGACAGAACGCGTGTTGCGTGTTCTTAATGAGGACCTAGCTCTTATCACCAGTAGCGATATCTTTCAAAAATCTTATCGGTGTATGTCAATCTGTAGGCAGGCACAAATGCTGATTTACAGGAATCTTTCTTGGTCATTCGCTGTGAGGCATCCAATGGCCTTAGCCCTTCTCAGTAATCCATTAATTGTCAGTGATATAACGAAATGAGAACGACTCGTGGGGCTCAGTGGTCGGAGGCTCCCTGCAACGCACATGGGAACAATCCCCGCGCTCCTGACTAACAAGGGCTCCATCACTCCGGGGTCGCCAAATTGATATCAGACTTGTCTGGGAGTATAGTAGCACTGACTCGCTACATTGGTAAGCCACCGCGAGTCGTTCATTGTAAATATCAGATATGCATTCACTGACTTCCAACGATGCTTAATGAAGTCGAATGCATGGAACATCCCTCATGGCTGATCATAGTTCAACACCGTATGATTTATCTTTTATACTTTCCAGCTAAATGAGTGCCTCCTGCAAATCGAGTATGCTCGACTAGCGATACGAACTCATCGAAAGAGCAGCTTTTTCTCACATGATGATTAGCCAGATTGTGGGAAACAGTCACAGTTCTTGTCGTCTTCAACATTTATGAACCAGCAGCTCACCTTCTTTAGCGATATTCAAAGCAGTCGTGTTAATCTTTTCATCAGTCGTTGGTGCAGCGCAAATTTCCGTAGGTCGTGGTGGTTCGAATCGGTGAATTCGTTTTGTATTGACCTCCCCATTGCACCAATAAAATTTATAAGATGTTGTGAAATACTCCAGCATACCCTCCTTAAACCGAAGTAAGAACTGATTTTGACGTGGAAAGAAAGAGTTCTGGACGAAAGTCGGCGAAATCTTTTCTCCTAACTTAATGATATGTTATGCATCACGGCTTAATTTCGATATTTATAGTTCGCCCTAGTTTAGAAAGCATGTTTTGGAACCCTCAACGGTTCACCGCCTCATCTTGGCTGGAAGGTGTTCCTGGGTGCCGTGCTGCGATCCACAGCGGGGGATCCATCCCCTCTAAGAGGGTCTCCCAAGCTGTGGAATCCGGCGTTTCCATTGGGAAGCCCAGCTAAGAATAAACCATGACCAGTATCCACCACCATCCTGGTATCTAACTAGTTGCATGGTGGTAATTCTCCCGTGATCCACAAGGGCTGCGACTGTCTGTAGTTGTGACGACCTGTTACAGACTTTGGCTAGAGCGACCTTCGGATTTCAGGGAGCAACAATGGCTAAACCAGTAAAACTCAGAGAAGATGAAAATTATGCTTGAGCTGGCACAAGCAGGGAAGACGGGCCATCCAACTATCCAAGTGTCCAAGTAAGTTTTGGAGCCAAAAATAAGTGGCAAGAATTATTTTACAACAGAGCCATCGTAACATTCCGATAGATATTCATTGCTTTGAGCTAGATTTATACATTTTTAAATGATATTTTTATGCTTGCAATGCTTTGTGATTGATCATTCCTGATAATGCGTTTTTTTTAGAGATGTATTGTTCCTCTCCAAACACCAACTGGAGAACCATTGGTTACAGTTAGAAAAAAGCAATCGGCAGTGACCGAGGCCAAAAAGGTATGATAGAGTTTTTTTAATTAGTTTTCTCGTTAAGAAATGTCCAGTCATATCACATATACTGGGTGACTATGTTCATCATGATACTGTCGTTCAGCTGCTGATTCGAGCGCACTTTAGTGAATTCTACATTTGGCTTGTTAGTATATTGCGGTTGGCCAAGCCTCTATCAGTGAAGATCATAGGCTCTGCAGTGATTTCATTTCTTATTTGACAAAGCATACTTCAATGAGTTGCAACCTTCTTACCCGCGTTTTACCTTTTGGTTCACATGTCGTCCTAATTTTTGTAATTAACGTTGGTGAGTGATCCAAACCTCGTCTTCTTGAATGGGTTAGTCGAGAAATTGTATCCTCAGAGTTAACACATTCACGATGGCGCTTGATTTTGGGTGACGGCTGCGTAATATAAAGAACGAAGAATGGAGCGTTCGGCGTTCATCAATTCCCGAGGGATGCGCAATGCATTCGACATCATCGAGTTATGTAGTGGTGATTGAGTGCTTGTCTAGCTTAAACAATGACTTTTGGTATCCTATCGATGCATGAGGTCAGTGCTAACGTCTTAGACAACTCTAGTACCAATTTACCGACCCAGCAGAGACGAAGAACTTGGTGAGTTCGGACTCAAGATCGAACAAGTATGTGTACTGAAGGGCACCTGTAACCACTGCGCTACACGCTCCCTTGCTGGGTGGGATGACGTCTTATTTCACGTCGTTGATCATTTGCTGATTTTTTAAAAGTGACACTTTTTTCGACATTTAGAAGATATTATGAGTTAAGAACATGACAGGATACAGGGAAGACTTTGTTCTATCGCTCTAGGGGTATGCATGGTATGTATGCTGCAACTTACCATATGCTATACTGTGGTCCATCACATAATAACAATACAATACAAAATAATGCAAGTTTAGCTGAAACAAACGCAAAGCAAAGGCCTCCGCGGTGCAGTGTGTAATACACAAGCACCTGGAAAGGGTAATCGTGGTTCGATTTGGTCCTGTGTCCAAATTTAGCAAATATCTCGGCATCGCTGCAGTTGAATACTGTTATTATTGAGAAAGTATTCTTTGTTTAGCATTGCATCTGCTTCTACTTTTTGTAGTAGCAAATGGAGTTGAGGTAACAGTCAGTTACTAGGCAAATTACCGGTCAGTGAACTCGTTCGGAAAGCTTTTTATATATTTCTAAGTGCAGAATAAAGCTTTTTCGCCGAAGCCCTTCACGAGTACTTGTTTCATAAGATTCAATGTTTCAAAAAATGTTCGGAAAGAGTTGTATATGGCCCATCTTGTTTAGTCTGAGCGATAACACGTAAGTCGTGTGCAGGTCAATTCTTCGCTAACGTTTTTAAAGAACATCGTTCTTGTGAGCTCAATTGAGCATCTTACCATTATTCAATTCAATATTGCCATATATACGATCGTTGTCCTAAAATTCTATTTAATTCTTGATCTTTTTATCTTTTTTATTATTTGTATTACATAGCGTGGAGGATGGAGTTGCTGCCTCTACACCTTTGCATTCATCTCTTGTCCATCTCTTTAGGAGACATCTAGGCACTTAATATTTAGTCCCTGAAGAGTGTAGGCAATGAAATGTCATCCGTCGAAGATCTCATCTTGTCTATATAAAAGTCACCTACTAATAGGAGATCCTTCTTTTCAAGAACTTGTAAAATAACCCCAAGGTCGACTTGAGGTTATTAATGAAAGCTCTATTCAACGCTGGCTGATGTGTCGGTACTTTCATTTCTTCAGACCGTGAAACGGACAAGTTGCCCCAAGGCGAGGGGTGCTCTGTGATCACGCGCGACGTCCTATAATTCAGGCTAGTTTTTGACTTGAAACAGGCACATTCCTCAACCATATGAACTCTGCGGGACTGGTCTGTATCAGTAAGTAAAAGGCTTGTAGGGAACAAAACGGTGAATATTCGAAGGAAGCCGTTTACCATGCGGTTGAAATTTAGGGGTTGTTTTTTTCCGCTGAAGTTATGAAAGTGTTTGAATGAGTAGACTGTTCAACTTGACCTTCCCAGTTTCTTAACGAGGCGAAATTGCGAAAATATCAGTGTTCAAAATATATCGAAATATCAGCAATGTTGAACAAGGGTTTTGTTAACAACCTCGTATCCATTCAACAAGAAAACATGAACTTATTTATGAATTAGTTTGTCCACCATCTTTTTTTTAGCCCTAGAAGGTTACCACTCTGCTAGTAATTTTCCAAACCAACCAGTGTCATGTTCATGTTCGCGATAAATACTACGTCTTTGGAAATTAATGACGGATTTTATCCTTTTTCGCTGAAGTGGGATATCTAAGCTCAGAACACACCTTATCGATCGAAAAAACCATTGGAATCTACGTATTATTTTTGTCAACGAGAAACAAGTTTGTACCAGCTGAAAAAAATTCCGAACTTATGGAGGTGATGAAATCGTTTTAGGCAGGTTTGGCCTTGCCTGAGTATTGGAGTATCTTTCGCAGAAGAAGCTGTTGAGATGCTCAAAGAAGTGGTAGTTGGTAGACGAGAGGTTTGACACTTCCGTAACCCAGCTCGTTCAACTTTGGCAACGTTTGTAGTGTGACGTGTGGCCGTATGTTTGAGTGGAGAGGGATTGGGCCCTTTCTGGTGCATTTCGTCGATCTGTTGGACATAATTCTCCATTGTAATCGCTTCACACGGTTTCAGAAAGCTATGATGGATCAAACCAGCTGTTCGCCACCAAACCGTCATCATTATTTTCTTTTAACATAATTTCAGCTTTGGGTAGTGCTGTGGACCTTCATCGCAATCCAACCAATCACCCGTTTGTGGCCGATTACCGTAGAGAATTCATTTCTCGTCGTTCTTTGCGCACCAGACTAACCAAGCCCTGCATCCCTTCGAGGTCGGCAAAGGTTTGATACATCATAGGCTACCGCTAGTCATTTTAAAGGCCAGATATGCATTCAATCACCTCCAACGATGTTTAATGAAGTCAAATGCATGGCGCACCTCTCATGAATTGATCAACGCCGAGAGCTTTATCCTTTTTTCACCTCGATTCCTTTAGAGTGTAGTTCGTCGCCGAAATCATAGGTGCGAGAATGTTCTTCCACTGTCACCGTAACATAATGGAGCATGAGGTGTACTTTCATTTTTGTACCGTCACAGTTCCTATGTAATGCTCATGGAGGCAGTACGCTTTCTGATTACAAACTCTGCTGAACAAATATTTGTATGTTTTCTTAAGAGTTTAAGGTAAATCATTTGGAAAATTCTGACCCAAGAATTAAACGCTTTGGTATAACTGATGTTATGAACAACATCTACGTTCAAAGCGCAAGTGCATTTTTTATTTTTTTACGAAATAAAAATAAAAAATAATAGTAGCAATAATTATAGTAATGGAGCACAATATGTGTATTATTCCGTTGACTACTTATGTAAACAAATTGTTAATTTTTTATTTGATAGACAGGCGAAAGGAAGAGCTTGCATGGTGTGGTGGTGAATGCGTTTGCCCCCGGAAAGGGTAATAGCGCGTTCGTTCCCCACCGCAGACACCTGCGGTCCAGAGTTTTGCAAATATCTCAGCATCACTGTGGTTATGTAAACAAAGTTGGAAGAACATTTTGCTTCATTCCACTTATGTGGTATCGATCAAGATGTGTAGTATGGAAGACTATACAAGTTTGTGCATTTTTCCTCGTTTTCTTCGGCGTCCTCATCATCCAATGTTTTCAGCATGCAGCATTCCGTATATATTTGTCCAAGCGCTTCCCAACCTTTTATTTTATCTGCTTTTTTTCATGCGTTCAACTAATGGACGTAAACCATTGCTATAGCTTTTGTATTGAACACCATTTCTATAGCGTTGGTGCTATATCCTCGGTGAAAATCCGCAAAGAAGTTGCATATTCTTTGGCGGTTAACGCATGTCTACAAGCAAGCTCAAGCTTAGCTTCAGACTTTGCTCTAATAAGTTTCACCGCGGAGATCCACTCAACTGGTGTGTCACACAACACAAGAATACGATCATAGTCTTGTGAACGAGCAATCACCGACATGCGCTTAAGCACCTGAAGGGGTTGGCTAGGGATCGGCAGTGATCGTGACCAATATAACTTAACACAAAAGCTGCTAATGCCTATTGCACGCGAGCTGTTACTAACGATGAATGACCGGTGTGCAGGCGACATTGTGTTCTGTGTTGTATAAAAGAGTATGTTTCAGAATATTGTAAAAATCTCCTTAAACGACTGTCTGGCATGTAGTGGTTGCATTACAAGCGCAGAAACTATTCTAGTTGAAGAGCAGTCGTTGACAAGGTACTGTCCACATTAAATATTTCCTAAAGTTCTTATGAAGATTTTTTTCTTTTGTCTATTATAAGATCTCAACAGCGTAAACATGTCTCTGATCAGTGTAGAGAGGCCATAGTTCCTTTATTTCTTTGCTTGGTCTTCTTTTTTGGTCCATATATGTGACCCACTACCAGTCGTTACAGATTTCTTGATGGAATTGTTGGCAAGCAACTTTGTGTTGTTACGGTGTCTCCTCAAAGCGTATGTTCAATAGCCGTAAAGCGAGGTCTTTCCACATCCCAAGCAGCGCGACTAATTGCATCCTACTTCTTCTCTAAAGGTAATTAAATTATTTTTCTTTCATTTTTCAGACCTAGTTCCTTGCTACTGAAGAAGCACAAGTGCGAAATATTGTAGTCAAAATGTATTCTTTCTTTGATAAGCTTACATGAAGCTGATACATAATCCTTATTTCTGGCCAAGGTTTCAACGTCTTCGTCTTCATCAGAATCGATGATCCGAGTCCATAGTCCACCGTCGTTTATCTTCTCGATATGGCGTCTTTGTCGTCGTTCGAGTCGGATCTTCCTCAGTGGGACATCTTTCGAATGAGATATGTTCACCAGGCCATGCTCCTTTATACAGGACAATGGATGTTAGTAATAGTGATTGTCCGGTAATAACGACTTATTTTTCCAGGACAATCCACCCTGCAGAAGTTCGTATCCTTATCAGCTAGTAAATACGGAAAATTAAAGATCAATAAATCCAACACGATACGACGACGAAGATGCCACATCGAGAAGACGAACAACTGCAAACGAATCATCGACTCGGATCATCGGCTGTGATGAAGACGAAGGCCTCGAAATTTTGGCCAGAAATAAATATGTATCAGCCTCGAGTTAGCTTATCAAAGAATGAATACATGTTGATCAGTCATGCTGAGGTTAAAAAAAAGTCGTTTTTGAAATATTGCAATCAGAGCTACTCACTACTGCAAGAAATAACTTCAAGGCATTCATTTCGTGGTCGATTCTTCTTTTGGTCGAGCCCTATGCTTAGAGGAAGCATATCAAGAATTCCTGTCCAGGTCGATTCGTCCTATTTTGGTTTCTTCATGTCCTGGTTTTGTGTGCTATGCAGAGAAGAGCCATGATGCATTCCTATTACCGTACATTAGTAATGTTAGGTGAGTCGCATCGTTTTAGATCTGGCTGTTCACTACCATGAGAAGTTTGCAACGAAATTTTTTGTGTAGTGAGGCGTACTCCGGACCAATCTGCCATACTTGCTTGTGAAAATGTTTTTGATTGTCTAAATTTGTTCTGTAACAGATCTCCACAGGCGATACACGGAGCATTGGTAAAGGACTTTCTCTCCCGCCTTCTTGAAATACCTGTAACTTCAATATACCATGCGTCTGTAATGCCTTGTTTTGACAAGAAACTTGAAGCCGCTCGTCTTGATTTCTGCGTGCCTGGTACAGAAGTTCGTGAAACTGACTGCGTTATAAGCACAGGTATATCTTCTTTGTTGCACAGGTAAAAGAGTACTATTCTATGCAGTGTTTTTTCTAGTTTTTGTAATTTTTTATACGTGGAAAACTGGATACTAACAATAACTATATGTATATATGTATGTATATACGCATGTATATACATATATATGTATATATATGCATATATATACATATATATGTATATATATATATATTCATACGAACTAATATCTTGTTGAGCTTATGCGAACAACAACATGTTTGAAGATGAAGATTTATTGGTCCAGTTAGTACATTGCTCTACCTGTAACTATTTTCAGTTGAGGTTGATAGTGTTCTTGACGATGTGGAAACCACTGGCAACGTCGAAGAGAAGGGCTGGTTAGGCGATTTCTCTCGAGGTTAGGCGAAACAGTAATGTCTAACTACCCTAATTTAAGATTTCACTTTGTTTTGTTCTTTCATAAAAAGCTTAAATTTTATCTAGGAGTTCTCTATGGAAATGAAGGAGGAACATCGGGAGGCTTTGCGACTTCAATGGTTAAAAGATTCGTTAGTGAGCACGGTGGTGAGACTACTGAAGAGAAAGTGTAGGTATAATAAATGTCAACCAAGAAGAGGTTGAACTGCTTCAACTTCTTCACATCACACATTTGTACTTCCAGGGACCGAAACCTAGATGTCATCTCTGTACGCCGAGATGGAAACACAATTTTACGGGTCGCTAGGATTTATGGCTTTCGAAATATACAGAACTTTGTTCGAAAGATGAAAAATAGCAAGCCAACCTATGACTACATTGAAATCATGGCATGTCCCAATGGTTCGTTCTATCCATTGTCGAAGTCCTCCAGCGACCCAACGGGAGTTTGGGAAGTGGTTGACTCTCTATAGCTCCATTTAGGCTGCGCTAACGGTGGTGCTCAAATTCGTGCCGAAACTATTGAAAAGAGGGATCAAATATTGAGAAACGTCGAGAACGCATATTCCACAATACAGAATAATGTTACTGAAGAAATACGGTATTCACCTCTTTGTACCGATATTTTCTTTCCCTTTTTTTGTGAATGAATGTAAAAGAAAACATTTTAGTAGAGTTGTTGCTGAATGGAGTGCTGTTAATCCTGAATGGAGGAGATTTTTATACACTGAATATCATGGAGTAAATAGCAACATTGCCCAGAAGCTACAGTGGTAGAACGCGACGGGCCACTCATCTGTATCATCTGTACTTTCGTTGATGGTCGAGTGACTCGAGTGGGCGCCAGTAAATCTTCACTTTTCCCTGTCGCGTGCAAGAGTAGCCCTGTGGGTTCTGCTCGCCTCTTCGGACTCGTTGAGCACCGTACCTTTCTTCTAGGCTTTTTGTGAATAGCTCTGACTATTAGGTCGGTGGCCTTCCTACTGTACTTTTGACATCCCGAGGAATCCAGTCACACGGACCATTGCCGCGGATTGAGTAAACAGTAACAAATGATTCGTCAATATTGATTTCCTTTCGTGCTTTATAATTTGCTTGTTCCGTCGTTACACATGAGCACTGGTAATAGGCTGTTAATGAGCTTTCCGAGTGTAGACTCTCCATGTCCAAATACAAAGCTTCTAATAGTAAATAAAGACCATTTTTACTTAAAACTGTAAGCATGCTTCATGTTGCATTCCCAATGTTTCCGCTGTTTTTTCTTTCTACCGGATTCATAGTGTTTCATTGGCGAACAAGAACATTCCCTCTCTTGTAGAAAATGATATGTTTTATGTATAATATATTACAGTACATCGATGAGAGATACAGGTTAGTTTTTTAACAGTTCGAGGAACGACTTCCTAGCATAGGTTAGTCTGTCTGAAATTGGTTTATTTCATATTACTCAATGAGTTGATTCTTTAACCCGTGAACATGTACGACATGCTCAAGAACGAAAACTTTTCATGTTCTGAATGTTTTTGATTGTTGAAGAAAGATTAACGAGCGGGTGAAAATAAAGCATTTTATATCATCGTTCGAAAACAAAGGAGGAAAAATGGGGTTCTTAATATTGAAGTGAAGTCCATTCACTTTTACCGAAGTAGCGTTAAATTCAAGCAGATGTAAATGAATGTTTCCTTCTCATTCTAAACTAAGAGCTAAAATATCAGATGGTGAAGAGACAGTTGAAGCAGGTGAATACTTGTCCATTTCCTCGTGTATTTAATATGCACCTGATTTTATATCGTCTTGTAATTGCTCGTTTTTTGAAAATAGATAATTTTCGGGCAACTAGTAGACCTGAGAATTTGGAGACACGTCAGTACCACAGAATAGACTTTGTTCTGTCGCGTTCTATACGTCTATGCGTAGTATGCCATTATTTACTACATGTACCTACGATCCGTCTTGCAGAAGAATCGCTGTGAGCACTTGGAGAAATTTTGCTATGTTGAGTCGTTCAGTATTTCTTATAGCCTCCCATTCCATGTGGTAATCATGGTTCACTGTAGGGATCAGAATTGAGATAACAGTCAGTTACCAGCCAAACTACCGACTAATAAATGGTTGGAGAAAGAGTTCTAAAGTTAAATCTATGTGGAGAATAGAGTTTCCCATTGATACGCAGTGATTATTAAAATTGCAACAATAGACCACTGCTTGGCAAAACAAAAGACCTAAAAGGAAATGAGTCATATGTGATGCACTCGGATAGTTTGCCCTAGGAAGCGCTCGTCGTACACGTTTAACCTAGTCACCAATTCCTTTAATAAACGTAGGAATATATCTTCATGGTAGACCTTTCAATGACGCAACGCATTACAATATGTTAGTTCGGAGTTCCTTAATTCGGATATTTGGATAGTTCATTTCAGCATTCTCGCGAAAACGCCTAATATCGGGTTTGTTGCGGACTGGACGACGCCTAGTCTTCAGCCTTTATGAACTTGCTGGTTTGTTGAAAATAACAATTTTTCGATAAGTAGAGCAGTTCATAAGTTGTAAACCTCGATGGATTGTAAAAAAGACTTTGATCTATCGTTATGTGGGTATGAATGATATCTATAGAGCTATTTACTATCCGTTACTATGGTCCATTGTACTCTCACCATTTGGAAGTGTTGTGCTACTTATGGGTCTCTATTTCTGTACTTTTTTATACCTCACACTCTATACGATCACCATTCACTCTAGCAATCATAAGTGAAATAGTAGTCAATTAGTACCCAAATATCTGGCTAGTGAAATCTTTCGGGAAACGGTTTTATGTATTTCTAAGTACAAAGTTGAGCTTTTCCCGGCTAACGTTCAATACAACATCTGCGCTCTACAAGCTACCATTTTACAGCAAAAATTTTAAGAAAATAGTTCTATGCGCTAAATTAAACCACCGATAAGAAAACGAGACCTATAGGTGTTCTACCGGCCACTCCCGCGGAACTATTATGATATCTGTAGTAGTCACACTTGGCCTGAGTGTTAATGACTATGGTGGAATACATTTTCTAATTATGTAACATTTTCCTTCTTGAACACGAGTTTGTCAATATAAGATTTATCCAATACTGATCTAGGGTCTCATTTCTCAATATAATTTCTGTTGTTTCGTTTATTACCGTAGTACACTGAGATCTACTTCGTGCATAGTGATGTAGCTGCGGGTACAGAGATTGTAGTGATACTTAAATTCAAACATGTCCATCTATACGTAGGTACTTTTGGTTCGTTGTATTGTTCTTCTTTTCACTCTGTCGGCTCCGCAGCACATGGTCAGTTCTAGATCTGCTTGAGACATGAATTTCGCTGGATCTCAAAGACAGGATATCTGTCGAAATCTGTGTCCCGAGGTCCAACTTGACGTGGTTTGTCCTGTTTATACCTTATAAGAGATCGTTCAATACTTTTGCAGGCAGTGAGCAGGGTGCTTGGTGTTGTTGAGGTTCTGTAACCAAATGGCTAGCGGCGGAGTGTAGCGGTTCAGATTGATGTAGATTACAAAAGTTATATTGCGGTGTTTGATGTGTGACTGCGAGGCGGCTATATATGGACATCAAATACTATTATTTAGATAGATAGAGAACTTGTCAAGAGAGAAGTTCTCTATACACCCGCCCGGCTTGTTAGGGGCCAAGACGAAATCTTGTTAGCTATTTGAACCCAAGGATTTTGCATTACGCAAAGCGTATAATGAGTGATCTACTACATTTACCTTAATAATTGGTCGATCTTATCGACACTCTCGCCTCTTAACTGGATGACTTTTTCATCCTTTTGCTTCTGAGAGTTCGTGGCGGTCGAATGATATGGTTGTCCTACGTTTATCGCTCCAAGGAGGCTTCTTTCGTAAGCATTGCGGAAAGCCGGGGACCGTTCTTGAGTGATGTCAACGTCGCCTTTGGTGTGCATGATTGCCACTCCATATCCGCAACAAAGTATGCGCCTGTTGCTTCTGTGCTGGTGTCTTCGGCTAGAATGCGATTAGCTAAGCTTTCACGATGCGGGGCTCCACCTGGTTTAATGATTTCGAAAATGTTTAAGTGTTTGGGGATGTTCCCCTGCATCAATGCATTAAATGTGGACGTGTCGTTTGACTCGAAATTCGTAAATTCTTCCGTTCCGGCCGTTTCCAACGCACAAAACATTTCCCAGTTGTCATCTAATACAGAAATCTCGCTCAACTGCGTTTCTAATGCGCTGCAGTCAGTTTGTGAATGAATTACATCTTCATGACCTGTTGTTTGTTTTAAGTTCTCTTCATTTCTTTTCTTTCCTTTCTTCTCTTTGTTTGCTTCATGTATTGGAATACGTTCACTGTGCATTAGGCTTTCGGAATTTGTGTTCTTCGATTCTTGTGAACTGTACCAGATTGCGGTTCCTTTTTTTAACATTCCGTGAACGGCCAGTATTGGTTTTACCATTTGCAGGTTCTTTTGCTGATTGTGAAGGATTAATGGCACTTCCTGTTATCAGGTGACCCAAGCGAGTTGGTAGAAGATGCAACCTAGAGGGAAGTGTGACGTGCCGTTGATCGTTTTTCACTAAGGACCACAGTTGGTCACAGCCGAGTAAGATAGTGGGCTTCACCTTTAATTCGTTCTTACTAAGATAGACGGGAAGATTATGCTGATGAATAAAGTCTAAATCTTTCTTAGGAACTGTCGGAATAACAAGTGGTTTCACTAACTTATCGTGCGTGAACAAATGCATAGAGAACGGATGACCATCAGCGTCCCATGCTCTGAGCGAGACTTTATTCGACGGTTTTTCTCGTGCTTCCTCGGATCCGAATGTACGCAGGCGTAGTGTAGTTTGTTCTATGATAGGAAGACCCATTTCTGCATCGAATGATGCGTCGATGGAAGAGAGTTCAGCTCCCGTATCCAGCAAAACTGGCACTTTTTCAAGTGTTCCTGTAGTTGTGTTCACCACTGTAATTTCTCCGGTGGGTAATACGGTGGTTTGCTGACTTCGGAGATGTGGATTTTCGTACTGAACTTCTACGACAATAGTCTCCTGTGGTGCAGACTGTGCTTGCTGTTGATTGACGTAGTTGATTTTGGACGTCGGCTGGTACGTCTTGGTGTCCTTAGTGCTATATTTCCTGTCTTTAAAGACCTTCTTTCTGTTTGGTTCGCTTTTAGAACCATTCTGAAAGCTTGTTTCTTTTGACGTTGACTGAAGACAACATGAAGTATGGTGCCGTCTCTGGCATTTGAAACAAGATGACTTCTTGCAATTAGTTGAGTCATGGTATGGGGATGCGCAAATTGCGCACAACTTGTCAGCTCGGAGGTATTGTGAGCGGTCACATGGCGTCTTGTACATGCAGCAGTACTTTTTGTCGGGGATCCACGATCTGCTTGTATTCTCTTGTTTGCTGATAGCACCTGACATTGGTTGGTACTTTGACGTGTACTGCCATACTTTTTCCTCCTTGTATATAACTTTCTCAATAAATTGGAGGAGTTGGTCCATCTGGAAGGATTTATCTTTGTTCGTCCCGACGTCAAGTTTCTTTTCGATGACTTTGCGCTGTATGTTGTTAGAGAATTTAGACAATATTTTCTTAATTCCCAAGACCGACTTTCTGTTAACCTCGGCATTAATTGATAATTCAATGTTTTTCATCAATAAGCAGACACGAGGTTGTTAATATAGAATTTATTAGAACACAATTGCTGACGTTTCGGCGGTTTCGCCTTCTTCAGAGCCGTTTATTTGTTGTAAGTATTTAAGTTAGTTGGTGGNNNAAGAAGGCGAAACCGCCGAAACGTCAGCAATTGCGTTCTAATAAATTCTATATTAACAACCTCGTGTCTGTTTATTGATGAAAAACATGGAATATTTTCTTAAACATACATTGACTGTCGACATTTTCACCTTTTACTTTTAACTGTGTTAGTATTAAGTGCAAATGTTCGAATAGTTTCCGTTGATCGTGCACCGTGGTAGAACGAAGCTGGCCGTTGTCAAGTTTGTCCGTCAGTGTGTGAGTGTTATCATGAGTTTTTCCGAGTCTGCATATTTTTTGGTAAGAAATTCAACTGCTTTAGCATAGTTCTCGTTAGTGAGTTGAAATTTCTTCATTAAGCAAGTAATTGAATTTATATAATTCTGATATGTTCTGGGAATGTATGTTCGCTTTGAATAACTCCCAGAAATTATCTCATTCCCAAATATTACCACTGAAAGTCGGTATCGGGAGTGTGGGTAGTTCGAGACGTGTTGCTGTAGCTATAGTTTGGGGAACTTCGACTGCTTGAAGGCTTGTTTGTGCCCTTGTTGGGGTGGCTAGCTTTCTTTGTGAAGTATTAGCAAACTCAAAGCTTTTTATACGACTTCTGAGTTTTACTAAGTAGTCTTCAGCTGCCTCCGTCATTTCCCTAAGTAGTCTTCAGCTGCCTCGGTTATTTCCTCTGCTTTGCTGCAATGTGTTTCTGTGCCGTCATCGCTCTCTAGTGTTAGATCGCGCTCTGAAGACTTTGTTTCGTAATGGACTAGTGCTTCGTTTAGCTTTGCGATAGCTTCTTAGATGGTGAGAACTTCTTCATTTAGTTTGTAAATGCTGTCACATATGAAGGTTTCTGTTATCACTCCATTACCGGATGACGTGCTGAGCATTTCCAATTGCTCACCTTTGAGACGCGTTAGTGTGGTCTCAAGCTTTTTAGTGTAATGCGTGATACGCCGTTTTACAACTCGCAAAGAGTTGGCCATGATAAATTAAAGTGGAAAAGAGATTTTCGTGGAACTAAAATTTGTGAGCTCACGAAAACGGTACCAAACTGAAGTGGTAGCCTTGAAGTTGAACTGCGAAACTTGCTGTTGTTAGGTCCTTTCAAGCGACCAATGCACCATGTAACGAAATGGCTATCGGCGGAGTGTAGCGGTTCAGATTGATGTAGATTACAAAAGTTACGTTGCGGTGTTTGATGTGCGACTGCGAGGCGGCCATATATGGACATCAAATACTATTATTTAGATAGATAGAGAACTTTTCTCTTGAAAAAGGTAAAAAAAAGGTCTTTCTCTCTATAGGTTCTAGCTTTTATCTGAGCTGTCTTGGAGAACCCTGCGACAAATGTGAATTACTAAGAGGTAAGCGCATTTTCAGACAGGTCAGCCTAATCAAAAAGAAGACTCATGTATGATTTAGACTGGCCTCATTCTTCTCTACAGTACATTACTAGTATGAAGGATGAAAGATAAAGCTCTCGGCGTTGATCAATCCTTGAGGGATGCACCATGCAGTTTTTTTTTGTTAAAACTGATTGAATGCATGTCTGGCCTTTACAATAACTCGCGATATTCTAGCGATATATCAAGCCAGTGATGCTATCCTCCCAGGAAAGTCGGGTACCAATTTGCCGACCCTGGAGAGGTAAAAGGCATGGTGAACCACGGTCGCGAGGATCGAATCCATGTGTGTCACAAGACGCCTCTGACCACTGCGCTACACGCGCTTTTTACCCTGCAACATTACTAGTACTAGTCTACATTCAGTGAACATCCCAGGTGTACATTATACCTAGTTCCCGTAATCGTAGAGCTGTTTAAATTCGTCACTTATCGGATTATGGATTCTCATGAACGGAGTTTTAGATTTACCTACGCCCTTTTTCACGCCTCATCAAGGTTTGTCCACTGTAGCGTAACACCAGTTTCATAAAGGGTTGCCTCAGAGAGTGTCTCGCCTTATCGAACCCACCCTTCTGTTAGAGTAGTAAGGAAACGAAGTGCTGAATGGTGTAGTTCCGGTGATGTGATAGGCTACAGATACTAAACACTCAGTAACTCTTCGCGAAATGGTTCACACATTGCTCAGCGTATAATCTTCCAATACCATCATTTGTTTTCTTATTGCCAACTAGTAGCTAGCTAGTATTTCCTGTAATCATTCATAAGACTATCTATGGTTTGGATATGGTTGATACATCTTCCAAAATTGAGATCCAAAATGATTAAACGGTTAGGTTTCATCAAAGTTCCTCATTAACAGCTGCCACTTGATAACCCTCGTAAAGAGTTAGAGTAGGCGAAATAAACAGATCGGATTTCTAATCATCAAATAATTGTCCAATTTCACTTTCTAAATAATGATATCAGGTGGGTTGCTGTCTGTCTATTTTTCCATTCCAGCCCAAAGTTGACTATAACATGCGTATATTTTTTCGTTTACTGCTTGAGGAAGGCCATATCACATCGCTCTGAAGATGTTAAATGACATTTGAAATTTCACTTGGTATCTTAATAACCCACAATGCTACCCAAACAAAGCAATGTTGGGTGTAGTAAGTTGTAATCATATGGATATAATCTGGGCTGAATCTCCAGTGGTAAAATTTATTTATCGTTTTATTGTCGAAAAGACAAAGAAAATTCAGTCAATACATGTAAATCTAACAACAACGAAAATCAAAATAAGAGTAATAGTGATAGCAAACAACCATGTATTAAAGAGACGCTCATATGCCCAGTTAAAATCCGAGAAGGAGAGGAGTCAATGGTTAATTATTGGATGAGAAGACACCCATTAATATCGTCTTTCTTAGTACCTGTCTCGCACAGGGCTGAATCTTCTCCTCTCACGATCGAAGTCATCACCGTTGCGTCTCATGCCTCCACCGTACGACCCATACCTTAACTTGCATTGTGCAATATAATACAATTGCTACTTTTTAAAATAGCTCCTGTCACCTCCTCACTGATGCTGGCCCAACTCCTGGCATTGTGATAGCAACATCGATAAAGTCGCCAATTTCAAATTTGCACATTGCCAACTGAATGCATTTCATAACACCTGGAAATTCGAAACAAGCCGTGTATGCGGTACTACTTACTGATTTCCCATCGTCAACTCCTCTCTGGCCGTTCATGGTGTTCCCAATATCACGGATTGTATAACGGTTGTTCATTCGATCAGGTGCTACTGAAAAAGAAACCGACACGTTCACAACGGAGTACTACAACCGTATAGTACCATCACTGTTTAGAAATACTGAGAAATCTTGCCCATTAAAGAGTGGATCCAAATACATTTAAATGGACTCCCAAAATGCAAAACTCAAAGGTATTTCTGAGGATACTTTACCTGTTTCATACTGCAAGTTATTTAACTGAACTTTAAGTTTTGAACGATGTAAATTCCACTCCACAATATAATAAGTCAGTTAATCCAGCTAAGACTATATAAACAAAATTATGTCCGAATACCTATTGAAAAATCAAACGTGGTTCCCCTACGACGAGCATCCGGGTTGACCTCCTTGATAAGTGACGTCAACTCTCGAAGAGTGCAATCCATCCTTTGATGAAAACAGTAATTAAATGTGTATGCAAGAAATCCATAAAATTAAAAGGGAGCCAAATCGATAATAGTCACCAGGTGTACATCTGCAACTCGTTCGCTGGCACACCACCTCTCATGTAGTCCGAAATGGGGTTATGTCTACCATTAGCACAGAAAACACGCAGAAGTAGAGGGCAAGTCTGAAAAGTTAGTACTACGAAACTTGGTTAACTGGGAAAGTGACGTAGAAATATGACACCTTCTCTCTATCAACAGGCTTTTCCTGATTCACGGCTACTTGGGAAACAACTGTTGCCATTCTACCAGTAAGCCTAAATGATGCATATGAACCGTGTTCAACCAGAAAAAGTTGGATAGACGTAGACATCATAGTATTCAGTGTGAATTGCTTCAAAATCTTGAATTGTAGAAATTTGTTATTAAAACGTAGAAATGAATGGATGGAAACTCGTCTGTGTCTCAACTCGGAAATCCAGAACTCGTGAAGCTACTCTCCAAGAAATGCAAGACTTTGAACATATGATTGAAAAAAGAACGATCTGGGCTGGCCATGGACAAAATACGAATCCAAGAAATACTCGATTAGGCATCTAACATCTACAGCCATAGTATTCAACAAATTCTTTCCAAAACTGATTTTCTTTTAACCCCGGTATGACTAATCTATATGAAATTTTCTCTGATGAGCTTACAGGTTGATTGACACTGTTTATTCGACTAACGTTTCGACGTCTTCGTGTTCGTTAGAAACCTCGTGTAAGATCATCAAATAAGGAATACATAGGATGGGATTTATTTCAGGTCAAACACCATGGTATTGAAAACGACAAAGCTGGAGTTTACTGTCCTTCATTACTTAACTACAAGACTTTCACCACTCATTAACTAAGCCGGACTAGTAAGCCTAAACCCGTAGAAAAATAACTGAGGCCCATCCTCTTTTTGTTTGGTTCGAAAGAAGATTTGCAACTTTTTTTTTGAAAATTTGTAAATATTTGGACGCAATGAATGCAGCTCCTAGTCCTCAATCGAGTTGTTTCTATATTGACTCCTATGGACTAAGTATAAATCAAGGAAATAAAAAAAGGAATAAAAGAAACACTTCCTATACTGGTTACATGTCTGACATTAACATAAGCCAGATCAGATTAACAGTGAGAAACAATTATTTTTTACACCTGCTTTAATCAGGGCGAGTGTGGTGCAGATCATCGGAGTCGTCCTGCAATACACATGGAATTGATCTCCGCGCCCACGGTTCACTAAGCCTTCTACTCCGAGGTCGGCAAATTGGTACCAGAATTCTCTGGAAGGATAGCAACACTGGATCGATACATCGGCAGGTCACCGTAAGTCACTATAAAGGCCAGATATGCATTCAATCACCTCCGACGATGCCTAATGAAGTCGAGTGCATGGTACATCCCTCAGGGATTGATCAACGCCGGGAGGTTTATCCTTGTTTTGTACATTATCTGCTTTTATTTAAGCTTAATCCTTTCGCCATTATTCCATAGTAACACATCAGCACCGGTAGTAAGTTATCGAAGAGCATCTTCCTAAGTTTAAGCCCTTCAGGACAGCTACAAAATTATCACCGATGAAAAAAGTGCTACTTACTTACACTTCAACGACATTGTTTTCCTACTTCGCCTTCTCTATTTCCACTACTTTCTTTTGCAGTGGATACTTACCGATACACTGGTGAACGGAAACGCTAACAATAAGTGTTCACTCTCATAAGCCCACAAAGAATTATAATAAATTTGCAAAATACATAGACCAGTCTAGGTGAATCGCGGTGAACGTAGAAGTTCACGGTAGTAGATGATCCAGTTCTCGATGGCCTCGACGTATGAGCACACTGAATAACACCGAAGAACGATAAATGACAATTAGCAGTCCCATTTTTGAAAACAATACTAGGATCCACCACCGTCCTAGTATCAAAGTAGTCGTACGGTGGCTAATCACCATCTGATCCACAACAGCTGCGAATGTCTGTGGTAGTGACGACTGGAGCAGGCATTAGCTAGGCTGACCTGTGGACTCCAAGGAACCACAATGGCTAAACCAGCAAAACTCCGAAAAAATGGAGATTAAGCTGGAGCCAGCATAAACTGTGAGGACGGGCAATCCGAGTGTTTTTGAAATCGAAGAAAAAGTCAGTTGAAAATAAAGCCCGGAGAAATGGCTTTACGTTTGGAAAATCTAAGACGCAAGTGAAGTCGAGTAATGTAATCACCACGAATACCTATCAGACACTTCGAAAGCATGAATGATTCCATGCACGCTCTGTACTTAGCTCTTATAAGTGCGAAGCCAAGAAATGACAACTGCAAGTTGTGAAACATATGTGATCATTCCTGTTTTGTTAACATATTGTACTCCTAACGAGTTGAACAAATAATAACTGAAGGAGAGAAAAGTTCGAAGAACATCCCCAATGTGCTGGAAATTTCCTTCCTTGCTCCTAACTTGAGACTTACGCATCATCTTAAAATGCGGCTGGCATACTAGAACTATTTACTTACTTGAATCTTTGGATGGCCCACTGGTTGTGCGGACCACAGTATAATCTCCATTTTTCAGAGTTTAGGTGGTTTAGTTATTGTGGTTCCATGTAGTTCGTGGGTCAGCCTAACCAAATTCTGCCCCAAGTCATCACCACCACAGGAAGTCACCGCCCTTGTGGATCAGAGGGAGATTTGCCGATATGTGAATAGTTAGAAACCAGGACAGTGGTGGATCCTGGTATTGGTTTACTCTTAGCTGAGTTTCCTGGTGGAAAAGCCGGATTTCTTCTCACTCAGCTTTGGATGCCCTGTCGGGAATGAATCCCCCCGCTGTACATCGCAGTCCATCACCCAGGAACACCTCCCAGCCACGATGAGGCGTTAACCCGTTGGGAGGCGGGAGGCATATTAGAGTTATTAACCATAATTTGCAAATACAAGTAGCCGATGGGCTAACCAGAAATGCGACAGTGCCACACAATCCACTATAGCGAATGTTATACATAGTAGTCGTTCCCGTCACCGTTACTGTTACAGTTAAAGTCATTCGTAAAGCCATTAATGGATAAGGTAGGTTCGGAAGCAAAGTCCAGTATTTATACCTGTCATAAAAGACTCCTTAACCATGGAATAAAATTGTACTTATTATTACTTATACTTGTGATGCCCATCATCATGAGCACAGTGCTGGGTCGATCCCGCCCCAGGCTTTCATCACTCGGGTAAATTGCTACCGGACTTGACTGAGAAAATTTCACTCTCTGCAAACCAATTGGGTACGCTCCAGCCCGGCTATCTCAGGACTCCAGGAGGAATTGACTCAACCATCTATTCATGATGAATGGAAAATCTTCAAGCAACAGCCGAAGCCACAGGTAAAGGGATACTGGGGAGATCTTCGTGGATGATGGACACGATGAAAAGAGTCAAATGTGGGAAGTGCTGGGATCCACAGAGCAGACGTGAAGGCAGGTCGTATAGATAAAAAGAATTTATACTTGTGTACTTATTTTACACTGATACAATTGTCCCTATTTTATACTTCTCATACTTTTTCAGTCATACTTGTCTTTATGCATGGTGCTTTCGGTGCTGCAAGATAAACATGAAAACTGACAAGATGGAACAAAAAGAATAGGAGGAAAACTCGAAAAGGAAGAAATCTGATATGCTCCTACAGGAAGGGAAAGGTATAAAGAAACAACGGACGCTCTGTTCGACATCACCGCAAAATTCGAAGTGCCCGCAATCACGACCAATATTTTTTCGACGGCACTGTGCATACTTCGAGGGACTCGACTTTTGCTCGTGGCTTTTTATTGCCACTCCTAAGCCAACTGGGAAGTATGGACGAAGACGGTGCGAGATACTCGGAAAGCAACGAGGTCGAGATGGAGCAGGAGGAAGTTCCTGCAAGGACCCAGAAGCAGGTAACTAGCTGGTTTGACGAAGACAACGAAATGGTTATTCTTTCGAGTTCTTGACGATGTTAAGGTGTATGTCTCGTGTTCTTTTTTCATCCTTCAGAATTCTATATGAGACATCTCTAACCAAAAGTTAGTGGGCAGGCAAATTTTAGTGGTCTCTTGAACAAGATTTTAGTAGTACTCCATTGCAGGTCTACATTCCTGGGGTGAGTCGAGCGTTGAAGACTGACGAAAAGCTGGATTTTGATCCGGAAGCGTACAAGATCTTTTATTCGTTTGAAACAAGTTAGTTTCAGCCTTTCTTGCATGAAGAGTTTCTATGCTTTTTTTTCAAAATGTACATTTCTGGTATGCCCTTTTTACACGACGCTGGTGAAATTTGTGTGTCGTTTCTTTCCGTTGTCTTCCTTATCGCCATTTTAGATGTCGGCTAAAAGATGGATAAAAGGGTAGAGGTGTCGGCGTTGATCAATCTCTAAGGGGTGCGACATGCATTCGAATTCATTAAACATCGTTTGGGAGCGATTGAATGCATATCTGGCCTTTGCAATAACTCGCGGTGGCCTACCGATGTATCCAGCCAGTGCTGCTATCCTCCCAGACGAGTCTGATACCAACTTGCCGACCCCTGAGCGATGGAAGGCTTGTTGAGCGGTGGGTGCGGAGATCGATCCCATGTGTATTGCAGGGCTCCTCCGACCACTGCGCCACATGCGCCCTAGACTTTGGATAGCACAAATATTACCTCTCACGTAGCGATTAAATTATTCAGGTGAAATGAATCTGGTACTGTCATTGATGCTTTGCCATGTTCATTGTCTATAGAAGCACTGGGATTTTTCTTACCATGTAGAGTAAGCGCGCTTGTAGCTTTGTGGTCGGAAGCATCCTGCAATACACATGAGGTCGATCTCTACGCCACAGGGCCACCAAACCCTCCATCTTTCCGAGGTCGGCAAATTGGTACCAGACTCGTCTGGGAAGACAGCAGCACTGGCTCGATACATCGGTAGGCCACCACGAGTCATTGTAAAGGCCAGACGTGCGTTCACTCACCTCCAACGATGCTTAGTGAAGTCGAATGAATGGCGCATCGCATCCCTCAGGGATTGGTCAATACCCAGAGCTTTTGTTTATGGAGTGAAAACTTAATGCTTATATATTGGTTGATGTAACTTGTTGTTCGTTATATTCGTTCAAAACGGCTCATCTTACTTTTCTTATTTTACACGTTTCTCTACAACAAGTTCAACGTTGTGAATTTTTGATTCATCAGTCTCATGATGTAGTGTACTTGTACTTATATGTGTTCTCTTTAGCGTGGTCTTGTCTCTCCTTTGACATATTGAAGGAAGACAATCCAAGTACCGATTTTCCACTGAAGTGCTATTTGGTGGCGGGGACTCAGGCAGACAAACCGAAGAATAATGAACTGCTTGTTATGGGGCTTCAGAATCTCACAGCACTGGAGGTTTGCCTATTTGCTTATTGTTAGTAGCTTAAGGTGTTGAAATCTACAGATGTGTCATAATGACGGTAAGTTGACCTATTGACGATGAACTGGAACATGATTTGTGGGCAGGAAAATACTCTTGTTGATATTGCTTCTTGCTATTAATATATGAAATTATCTGGAAGTTCTTGGCTTTATTACTTTTCAATTTGTGCCATCAATGTGATGTAGAATATAATGTATGAAATGCTTACTTACTTGGTTACTTGGACGGCCCATCTTCACTGGTTGTGCTGGCCCCAGGATAATTTCCAGTTTTTCGGAGTTTTGCTGGTTAATCCATTGTGGTTCCGCGGAGTCCCGAGGTGAGCCTGGTCAAAGTCTGCCCCAGGTCGTCACCACCACAAACAGTCGCCGTCCTTGTGGATCAAAGAGGGATTTTCCACTATGCGACTAGTTTGACACCAGAACAGTGGTGGATTATGGTATTGGTTTATTCTTATCGGAGCTTCCTGATGGAAATGCCGGTCTCCTTCTCAGCTTGGGAGACTGCTGATGCGATGAGTTCCCTCGCTGTACACCGCACCCAGACCGAGCCAGATACCCAGGAACACCTCCCAGCCACGATGAGGTGGCAAACTGTTGGCAAAGATGTATGAAATAGGTTCTGAAATTTGCAGTTAAGCAAAAATCGTTGATTGCTTTTTTGTGAATATTTTTTGTCGTAACGTATTGGTGTTCTTTTTAGTTATTCGGAAATGGGCCATTTGATTACCGAAATCCGTGATCATGTAAAAGAGGACATTGAGAGTAGAGTGTATTCCTTTGATGACTTTTTCCCCTTCCTATATGCTTTTTCACTACTATATCTCTTGGGAAATTCGCTAGCACCAACATCACATCTGATTTTTTAGGACGAAGACGAAGAAGATGAATTGAGTGATGATGAAAGTGATTCGGAGGCTGGTGGTAAAAAAGATGTGTTGTCGCATTCTGTAACAGTTCCCCATTATGGGGGCATCAACAGAGTCAAGGTTTCAACATTTTAATGGCCTATAGTCTGATATTTCATTGTCGCATCCAATTTATTTGCTTGCTGATGAAATATTCTCCTTTTTTTATATTGAATGTTATGAGCTATCTAGGATTATTATATATATATATATATATATATATATATATGTAATTGCGTATATTTTCGTATATATTTACATATGCATTTATATACATCTACATCTACGTTGATATGTTCACATAATGCTATCTGAAAGGTCAAACGACTTGGTGATAGCACGGTATGCTCAGTTTGGAGTGACACTGGCAAGGTGGAGCTCTGGAATGTAACAAATGCCTTTAACGAGTGCATGAAAATGTCTGCAAAACCTAAGGATGAAAAGCGCATACAGGTGGGATGATTACACCGTCTTTTACACTGTTACTTTAAATAAAAGAAGGTCATGGAGCACCTCATATCGACGTCCATGTGTTTTTCTTTTTTTTTTATTTGTCACTAATCTTTCACATCTTGTGCGGATCTCAGTGCTTCTTGCATTATACTCGTTTCCTCGTATCCATCATCCACGAAGGTCTTCCAAATTCCTACATGTTGTTTTGACTACCGGTTGAGTGTTTTACTTCCATTGTGAATATCGTTGAATGATAGCCGGGCTGGGAAGTTTCCAATTGGTTTCTAGTGAGTAAAAGTTTCCCTGAAAAGTCCGGTACCAATTTATCGTCCTTGGAGAGATGAAGGCTTAATGAACTCGAGGCGGTTTTAAACTAACAGCGTGCTCGTGATGATAGGCATCACTAACACTGCAGTACCCACTCCAGTCCATGTATTTCAAAAGAGTTAATTTGTCAGATTTTGCATGATTCATATTTAAGTTAGCTGAAGGTCAGTCTAAAGGTCGGATGTTTTTGCGAACACTTTTCTGTAGTTTACACAAAGATCTTTACTCTTACCTGAGTACGTACATTCTTTCCGAAATGCGTCATACTGAACTTTGTGATGCGCTTTATTAAATATATTGACTCCATCGGGTAGCTAATAGACCACACTTATCAAGAAAATATTGAACTGCTCAAATCTTGGGCGGAGTCGACTTTATTTTGAAATCCATTTGATCGTCTCTTGCGGAAATTCTAGGATTCACTTGCCTTCATATTTGTTATTGTTTATCAATACTAAGTATTAAGACCATTTTTCTTGGAAGTGAAACAGTCTATAGTTCGACGACACAATTCTTATTTCGCCAATTTATTGAAAAACTATTGATCGTCTAATCATAGAATCGTTGAAAACTTGTTGTTGATCATTTTATCAACGCCTGCCGTTCTTCGAGCTTCTTCCTGTTGTACGTAGTGAATGATAATGTATCAATTCGTATTTGCCTGAAAAAGACCAATGAAGATCGGCTAGACGGGGAATATGAAATTCTAGAAGTAGATAAGGTGGTCAAATAACAGAATAACGTAAAACAGAACCCATGTTGCTGAAGTTTCTTTAGGATACTGAAGATACTGTAAAAAAGGTTTTCAAAAGTAAAGTGAAAGTATTCTTTTCCTTACGAAGGTGAATTCATTCTTGATAACTTGCCTGTATGAGAGCTTCACAATATATTATTTTATCAGTGACTCCGGGAAGAGATGTGTAGCTCACGTATAGAAAATTGAGTCGTGTTTTGTAAATTGGGTGCAAAGCGAGAGGTTACCTCCATCTGCATGAAGGTGAATCTTGATAGAAATGTATATCACTTCTGCCCACCAGTTTTTCTAAAGGATTTCTAATTTTTTTTGTTTGAGGAAAAACCGCTATTCACATATAGTACGAGGAAAGAAGGTTATGCTCTCGATTGGTCAAGACTGAAACAGGTTTGGTTTGAGCTCATCTGGACGAATTACAGTTAGTACGCTTTTATTAATCGCAGTTATTAAGGGAGATTTCGCATCTGGGGATCAGTGTCGGGATATTCATATCTACCGAATGCATGAAGGTGGTACATGGGCCGTGGATCAACGTGCTCTGTGCGGTCATACTGGTGAGAATTTTCGTTGTAGTAAGCGTGTAAATTAATAGCAAATAATTTTACGGAGGATGAAAAAGTAACTTTTCAACTTGTCTGGTAAGGAATTTTACAAGCAAAGTGCACTTTCTTCGATGTATGGGGTATAAAACATGGGACGAGAAATCACGCACTTATTTTCTTTGGGGGTCGATGGTTTCATGGGATTTCTACTTCTGCTGCATCGAATTGACTTCTAACTTTAGTATACACGTAGTCATATTCGTTCCTACATGCTGGGTGTACTGTCTCCATTGATTTTGACAGAAGTCTTTAATCAAGTAACTAAAATATATTTAAGAAGTGGTTTTGGGTCAGTTAATAACTATGTTATACGCCTAGTTAGCAAGAACCAGGTTAACCATCACTGAGCATTGATATCACGAGAAACTAAAAGAAAAATGACTTCTTACGAAAGTGTGGTGCCGTATATACTGTTTGAATGTGCAAATCTCACATGTTTTTGTCGCAGGCTCTGTTGAAGACGTGCATTGGTCTCCTACAGAACCGTTGCTGGCTTCCTGTTCTTGTGATGGCACAATCAAATTGTGGGATTCTCGATCGAAGCCAGCAGATGCATGCGTCTGCACCGTTAATAAGGTTTGTGTTATTTTGTTGTCTCCGATCTCTCCATCACTAGTTTTGCTTATTTCCCGTTTTCTCTTATAATGATTCAACCAGTGATTTTTGTAATTCGTCTCTTCTTTGATCAAGAATTTTAAAAGATATTTACTACCTCGTGAGGCGCATTGCTTAAAGACAATGCACATATCGTTGATTCGATCGTTCGCTCCCAACTAATCAAACCTCCTCCCTTTGGCTCGGAGTATTCGCGTCAGACATCCCAGAGAGTATAAAGTCACTGTGTTATATCTAGTTAAAATATGCATTCATCCACCTGTTTTTTGAAGGGTACACTGCATAGAGCACTCACCCGAGACTTCTCACTGGGGAGTTTGCCTGCATGTTTATGTGGTGGTAGTTCGGCCACACGGGCTTCTTGATGTTTAGCGATTTACTAGCCTTAAACTTTGCTGAGAAAAAAATATATATCAGGCTCATGACTCAGACGTGAATGTAATCTCTTGGAACACACTTGACCCTCTCTTAGTAACGGGTGGTGATGATGGTGAATTGAAGATTTGGTCTCTAAAAACCATACAGGTTAGTTTACTTGGCTATTTATTTTATAGGGTAAACGCGTCAATTCATTGTTCAAATATGTTTGCACAAAATTTTATTGATTACGTCAACTAGATAATCTAAAGCAACGTCTCAGCTACTTATGTCGTTTAAATAGGTTGCTATTATTGAAGCTGTTGTTGAAGATCATTATTAGAGTTTTTCTGAAGCTACTATAACAAGTATGAGAACCTTTTAGTCAAATATTTTATCACTTCGATTTCAGTTTGGCCAGCCCGTTGCTCGGTTCAAATATCATCGAGGACCCATTACTTCTGTGGAATGGTTACCACAGGTATCTTTTAACTTTCGACAGTAGTTAGTAGTAGTTTCAATCCGAAAGTCACGTGTAGAGAAATTCCATTCTAGGAGTCAACTACATTTATGGCCTCTGGTGAAGATGACCAAGTTACTATTTGGGACATAGCTACTGAAGCAGATTCTCACGAATCTATCGAAGGAGTCCCTGCACAGTTGATGTTTCTGCATCTGGGACAAAAAGAGGTTGGTCCTAAAACTGCCCTAGTGTAGACGACCGTTGGTTTCTGGAGTTCTAGTCAATGAGTATCATACGACATAATTTTCCAATATTTATCTATTTAGGTAAAGGAAGTGCATTGGCATCCTCAGATCTACGGATTGGCTCTAACAACGTCGTTCGATGGATTTAATTTGTTCAAGACTATAAATATATAATTTTCCACTTGTACTGCTTGTTGAGTTTGTTCATTTTATACATCTTTTGTTGTTTCAGGACTGTTGCATTCTCAAATAGCTATTTTACGATAAACAATCGTCAGCGAACACATTGAGAACCACATGAGTAACCCAATGCAACATTTCTTGATTCATCTGACTTTTTTACTTTAACCTTGCTAACATTTCGAAACCGACTTTCTCTAAACCTCGGTGTGACTAATCAATATGTATTCTTTCTTGGTAAGCTTGCACGAGGTTAATAAATATATTTATTTTCGGCTAACGTTTCGACGTCTTCGTCTTCATCAGAGCCGATGATCCGAGTCGATCGTCCATGATTGTTGTTCGTCTCGACGTTGCAGCTTCGCCTTCGTGTCGAGCCAGGTCTTCCTCAGCGATCCATCTTCTCGAATGAGGCATCCTCACGCAGTGATGCTCTTTTATACACGATGCTGATGGTGGATATATAATGATAATGTCCGGTGGTAACAACTTGTATTTCTTCCGGACATACATCATTGCGGACATCGTGCAGAAGTCGGTGTTTTTATCAGCTAGCACAAAGCATAGTAATAATATTTCGAAACCGACTTTCTCTAAACCACGAAGGCGAAGCTGCAACGTCGAGACGAACAACAATCATGGACCATCGACTCGGACCATCGGCTCTGAGGAAGACGAAGACGTCGAAACGTTAGCCGAAAATAAATATATTTATCAACCTCGTGCAAGTTTCCTAACATTTTTGGTCTGCCTTAAAGAATGATGGATTAAGCTTCGTGACGCCACGGAGGCATCGTCAAATGTGAGCCACCATATCCTTCGAACACGAAGAGGCAAAAGGAGAGCGAAGGAGAGAATCGTATAAAATTGTTCAGCCTGGAGAGAAACTATAAGTCCCTAACACTTAACACAGATACCCTAAGTGCAAACGCATATCTCGGGGAGGCAAAATGAACGAACTCCTTTGCTAACAAAGCGTTATCGCTTTAGTGCTTCATTTTGCTCCATTTTTTGGATTTATTAAATCGATTCTCCATGCAAGATTTTTTGAGGTGTATTCCATGCGAAGCTGGTCATCACATTTAATAATTTACGAGAACTCTTTGCGGATAAGTTCATACTATGACGAGATAGCGTAGATGTTGAATTGAGTGCCCACCGCGGACTGTTGCTGCTGAGGGTGATGCAGGGATAAATCCTGAAGTACTTGAACACCGATGATCGACTTAGTGAACCCTTTCGCTATAATAAGATATTAAATTATTGAAGAGACCTCTTTAAAGTGGCATGCTGCTAACAGAGTATGCGTTCATACATGTACATCCATACAGTTTGTCTTTATACCAAGTCTTATTAGCATTTAGGTATTGTACTTACTTGGATACATGGATAAATAACACGTCTTCACTGGTTATGAGGGTACTAACACAATTCCCATTTATCGGAGTTTTGCTGGTTCATCTCTTGTGGTTCCTTGGAGTCGCAAGGTCGGCCTAGCCAAAGTCTGTCTCCAGGTCGTCACCACCATGTGCAGTCGCCGTCCTTGTGGATCAGAAGGAGATTTGCCGCCATGGGACTAATTCGATATCAGGACGGTGGTGGACCCTCACATTGGCTTACTTTTAGCTGGGCTTCCCGATAGAAACGCCGGACTCGTTCTCAGATTGGGAGACCTTGCTTGGGGATGAATCCCTTCGCTATACACCGCAGCTCAACATCCAGAAAAGCCGCCCATCCACGATGAGGCGGCAAACCGTTGGGAAGGATGTATGAAATAGATTCCGACATTTACAGTTAAACAAAAATCGTTTGAAGCTTCTAAACTTATCTCATGGTATTGCTACTTCGTAGCCATTGGAGATGGCTCTTTGCCAAGCCAAGTCGAACGATTCTTCCTCTAGTTCCCTACGTGTGCACACAGGGTAGGTGGCTGTTCGAAACATATTTCTTGCAAGCGCCCTTTTGCTGTGTGAGCGATGACGGGAGAGTTAGTGAACCGCTATATTTTTATCAACTGGCTTTCGGTACCACTTTTTAAGGTTGCTCTTTTCGGATAGGTTAATTTGAACCTTCAGAAATGGAGGCCAGTTTTCTTCTGGTTTCTCCCGGGTGAACTTGATGTACTCAGACCGCTCGGTCAATAATTCAAAGCATTTGTCCATCTCCTCCTGCGTACAGAAAGTGACGTACAGAATCATCTATATATCTGCAGTAGTTATCTGTTATCTGCAGCAGTGCAGTAGTATATCGTGTTCTTCTTGTAAGGAAGTAAAAGTGCGCTGAATAACAACCTCGTGATTGCTGAGAAAGAGAATGGAACATTCACAATCCAATTCCGAAGTGAATGGAAATTCGATCTTGGGAACTGTTCAGTACTTGACACTTGGCACTTGAACGGCCCGTCCTCACTGGTTGTGCTGGCTCCAGCTTAATCACCATTTATCGGGGATTTGCTGGTTAAGCTATTGTGGTCCCTGGAATTCCGAGGCTTGGCTGGTCAAAGTCTACCACAGGTCTTCACCACCACAAGCAGTCGCAGCTCATGTGGATCAGAGGGAGATTTGCCACCATGCGACTTTGATACCAGGACGGTGATGGATTCTGGTATTGGTCTACTATCAGCTAGGCTTCCTGATGGAAACGTCGGACTCCTTCCCAGCTTGCGAAACCCTGCCAAAGGATGAATCCCCCGCTGTACATCGTAGTCGACACCCAGGAGCACCTCCTAACCACGATGAAGCGGTAAATCGCTCGGAGGCTCCTGGACATAGTTCTGAGTAAAACCACTTTGAGCAAAACAGCAATAGCAACGAGAACAAACAACAAACAACGGCGTATTTTCAAATGAGGAGGAATGACGACAAAGATTTTTAGGAAAGGGAAATATTTCGAAGGCATTTACACATCAATATGGACAGTGAAACTTATGGCGAGGTCTCCTCTGGTTTCTTCTCTACTTTTTAAATCAGACTCGACATCAAGTTTCAAACGGAACTTGTTCCATTCGATCTATATCTTGGCGTTCGCCATCGTCAAATCTCGTCGGATTTGCTTGTAAACTCCGACACCATGTTTGGAGGTAAGCGTTCTTCATAACTGTCGTTGATTGCGTAGAAATGTATTGCAGAACTCTTGATATATAACTACAAAAAAGCTGAGATATGAGCTAAAATCGGAACGTTAGGCAGGCCTATCCGGAGACTCATCTACTACCCACTGCACAAATCGAGCCCTCTTCGTTGTCTCTTTCTCGGCCAGTTTTTTACTCTAGCGGTGCTATTAGCAATAACCCCTTAAAGGGAATGATCCGGGTGCATTCCGAAGCTGTAGACGAAATCACAAAACTTTTCTGTGTTGGTTGCACCTTGGTTAAATGCTAAGGAAACTTGTCACGGAGTAAATTCAAACGCCTTTTGAGTAAATAGATTTTAACTCTAATACTTACCTAGTTTTTGAAATCCAATCCATTTCGTCTTACAAAAACCCAAATATTCCTCCCCTCTCGGTATATCAACGGATGGTGCTCCTGGAGGAGTGCCTGAAGTGCTCTATCATTAAATGGGTCGTGCGGTCGGGCATAATTCTCTTATTCTCAGAACACATTCGCTTTGGATGGGTGGATAGCAGTATTTCTTCTTCCGATCGTAGTACTTAGTGCTGCTTCGGGAACATTTTCATAGTTTGCCATTACTTTACCATACTGGCATCTCCTCTTCTACAATCTAGGGTCGTATTCCGTGCCGTTATTTTTCTTCTGTGCTCCTAGATTTTCTGATGTATTCCTCATTTGGTATATTCTGTTCGGCTTTATTGGTTCATTTCATTGTGTGTATTACGGGTGCTTCATAACCTTTTGAAGTGGTGTGCGTCTGAATGGTTTGATTTGCGATGTGACTACCAGGCTGCCATCAGATTCGATCCTTAGACGACGCACAGTACGTCTGTTCAATTATGTCCGTCAGCGGAATTGATCTGGGAAGCGTAAATCGGTATTGAACCCAGTTAAGCTTAAGCTATGATATAAGTCACAATGTCGTCAATTTTTATTTACTACTTTGTAATGGCAGGCTATGGCGGTGATTGCTGATAGCGCCTATAGGTCAATAACACGGCCGGGAGACAGGCGAAACGATGGAAGCGCATGGCGTGGTGGTGGACGTGTTAGCCCCTGGATAGGCTAACAGCCCCGTTCGTTCCCCATCGCAAGCACCAGCGGTTTAGAGTTTTACAAATATCTCAGCATCATTGTGATTACAGTCCAGTTATTGTTTCCAGCTATTCCATATTTCATTAAGGACTCACCGTTTTGATGCGGAATGGAAAAGCAGTGAGCTTTTGCTTGAAAATTGAACACTACCTGCCCTACGTCATGGCCTATGCAGTTTTTCTGTTCCTAGCGTCACATACGATGTTGTCTTCTCAGCGATTCCTAAGACTCTTCGTTGGTTGATAGCTTATGGGCTTGAGGACTCAGCACACGTGTGAATTGCTGATTTCGTCTTTACGATTGCTATCTATTATTCTTCTATTAGTTCCCAGTTGTTATACATTTCCTATGCATTAAATTTCGTTCTAGCTAAGCTCTGTTCAATTGCTTCTGAGGCGTACATGTTTCCGCTACCATTCGTAGCTTAATTTTACACCCATGTATCTAAACGTTTTATTTTTTCTTCTTCTATTTCTAGGAGACGCTCTGCAACACGCAAGTGGAATCGAACCCCGCGCCCGTGGCCCATCAAGCCTTCCATCTCTCCTTGGTCGGCAAATTGGTACCACACTTGTCTGGGAGGATAGCAGCACTGGCTCGGTACATCGGTAGTCCACCGCGAGTCATTGTAAAGGCCAGATGTGCATTCAATCATCTCTAACGATGTTTGATGAAGTCGAATGCATGGCGCATCCTTAAAGGGATTGATCAACGCGGAGAGCTTTAGATTTTTATTTCTAGGTGGCATCCATCGACATTTCGCATGCTCTCAGTCCCATCGCCCATC